CTCTATCCATGTCGGCCAAGCTGGTGTACAGATGGGCAATGCCTGTTGGGAATTGTACTGTTTAGAACATGGTATCCAACCCGATGGTCAGATGCCATCAGATAAAACTATTGGAGGTGGAGATGATTCTTTCAATACCTTCTTCAGTGAGACTGGTGCTGGCAAACACGTGCCAAGAGCTGTCTTTGTTGATTTAGAACCAACTGTAATTGGTGAGTTGGGGTTTTTTTCAAATTTATAAAATACCCAATTATCTGCCATTGAAAATATAGCCACTTCACATGCTAACGTCAACAATTATTTTCAAATTCATCCAGTTATATGTCTCCCCACCCATCCCATAGAGTCCGCCCGAGTTTTCAAACCAACCTGCAACATACGCAAATGACACTACTTCATTTATCAAAGAATGGACACCTAAGGCGTGGCAAATCCTTTTAACGAACAGAGAATTTTGAAGCTGCTCGTACCACACCCGTTCAGAATTACATATTTATCAATATGTTTGGGTGTTCGGAATTAATATAGTGACAATAACCTTGCGCTTTCTCTGTACTAAACATCATTTATATTATATTCCAGATGAAGTACGAACTGGTACATACCGTCAACTCTTCCATCCTGAACAGCTCATCACTGGTAAAGAAGATGCCGCCAATAACTACGCCAGAGGTCATTACACTATTGGTAAAGAAATCGTCGACTTGGTCCTTGACCGAATCAGGAAATTGGCTGACCAATGTACTGGTCTTCAGGGATTTCTGATCTTTCACAGTTTTGGTGGAGGAACCGGTTCCGGTTTTACCTCCCTTCTTATGGAAAGATTGAGCGTTGATTACGGAAAAAAATCCAAATTGGAATTTGCTGTTTATCCAGCTCCCCAGATTTCCACTGCCGTGGTTGAACCCTACAACTCCATCCTCACCACCCACACCACCCTGGAACATTCCGACTGTGCTTTCATGGTTGATAATGAGGCTATCTATGACATCTGTCGTCGTAACTTAGATATTGAACGTCCAACCTACACCAACTTGAACCGACTTCTTGGACAGATTGTCAGCTCCATTACAGCCTCTCTCCGATTTGATGGTGCCCTAAATGTCGACTTAACCGAGTTCCAGACTAACTTGGTACCCTACCCACGTATCCATTTCCCTCTTGCTACCTATGCTCCAGTCATCTCAGCCGAGAAAGCCTACCATGAACAACTCTCTGTAGCTGAAATCACCAATGCCTGTTTCGAGCCAGCCAACCAGATGGTAAAATGTGATCCTCGTCACGGAAAGTACATGGCTTGCTGCATGTTGTACCGAGGAGATGTTGTGCCAAAGGATGTTAATTCAGCCATCGCTACTATCAAGACCAAAAGAACCATTCAATTCGTGGACTGGTGTCCAACTGGTTTCAAAGTCGGTATCAACTACCAACCACCAACTGTTGTACCAGGAGGTGATTTAGCCAAGGTGCAGAGAGCTGTTTGTATGTTGAGTAACACCACCGCTATTGCCGAAGCCTGGGCTCGTCTGGATCATAAATTTGATCTGATGTACGCCAAGAGAGCTTTTGTTCACTGGTATGTAGGTGAAGGTATGGAAGAGGGTGAGTTCTCAGAAGCTAGAGAAGATTTAGCTGCTCTTGAGAAAGATTATGAAGAAGTTGGTGTTGACTCTGTTGAGGGCGAAGGAGAAGAAGAAGAGGAATATTAATCTCTTGAAATGTGACTTCATCTATTTTGAATCAAATTTCAAAATAGTCAACTTCGTTGTTTTTGTTAAATTGTTTTAAACGAAATGGCAATACAATATACATGTTTTTGAAAACCGTTTGTTTCCTTTTTTTTGAGAGGAGTAGCCCTGACATTCGGCGCTTTATTCGTGTAATACTGTTTCTGGGTAAGATTTATCTAATACGCTATCCCTACTTGCCAGTAGTGGTGTATTGTCTGAATAGATGCTTCTTTAATAACAAAATTCTTTGATGTCGGTCACTGTCTGCCAAATTGAAACTCTGCTCTTATCAATTGTTAATCCACATGATTGGAATAATAATTGGATTTACACGAGAACACGGCATTACAGTAGTTCTACGCCGTGAATACCACATTTTCTAGACTGATGAAAATAATACAGAATTAGATTAGTTGGTCGGAAGAAAAATGTGGTTTAACTTCCATTCATTACAAATTAGATGCTTTCTGGACTGACACAATGTAATACATTCCCTTGCGTTTTGGGGATCTTTAGCAGAGGAAGGAAAATAGGGTCTCAGAGGAAACCAATGAGGTTAGGGAGGGACCTCCTTGTCACGTGCAGGCTTGGGATGGAAACCACGGTACGTGACTCGTTTTATCACCCGGTCACCCCCGTCCTACCCCATCGTGTGTTTGATTGAACGTGTCTAATGGGGTGCATGCCTTGCAACCACAAGTTAGATTTTCATCATATTTTATGAACATTATTAAATAGACAATAAATGTATACACTTCTGTTAGTTCGGGTGTGGCCAGGTCTTGTTGACTGTACTTTAATTGGCCGATTGTATACAAATAATATCAGGACTCCGACTAGCAATTATTTGCCCATTGCCCATGTTAAATGGCTGTAACTTCACAGGCTGTAGCTTTTTGCTCAACATTCCGTTGGTTCTAATCTTTATAGGCACAATGGGGACCACCTTTGGCAATCTCCTCATCATAATTTTGTAGGGGGTTGACCGTTTAAATATGAAGTTGACTGGGGTGAAAATCTCACTTCCAACACAATGATTTCTCTGCAGAAAGACACTTTACATCCCTATCCCTCCGCTGTAATCAGGGGCCGATCGGGCGATCGCCCGAAGGGCCGGTCGGACAAAAAGTGAAAAAAATAATTTTGTCCAATTCGTGTAAAAAAACCTTTTTCTGCTGAACATTATATAGGGGGAGGGGGTTATTCGACCGGCCATGGAGCGATGATGATCATGTTGTATGTGGCCGGTTGCTTTATAGGGCCGCCACGCCATCACTGGAGTCTGGCATGGGCTGGTATAATAGACTTTTTGGGCCGGGTGTGCTGGGTGTGGGCCGGAATTCGGAATCCTGCATAATATGACGATAATTTCTCAGGTTGATGGTTGTAAATTACTTGCAGGTCGGGGTTTTGGCCCAAATTAATCGATTTATGAGATATATTATTTGACAGAGATTATAATCAGATATGCCACCAAATCGCATATTTGGGGTTCATTTTTCAAAATTTTCATGAGGGAGAGTCCCCGGACCCCCCGTCCGGGCTCCGCGGTCAGTAAAAGGGGCCGCTCCGACACGGGAGTCTGGGCCGGTTCCAGGCCCATATCCGCCCCTGGCTGTAATATCATCAGTATTACCCAAAAAAGCTATGAAATTGCAAATTGGATCCCTTTTCTCTAATTCAAGACCAAAAAGTCAACCAAAAGATGCAGGAAGAGGGGATAAAAAAATTAAGGGAAAAATTGTCTATTTATAACTCGCACTACAATAATTACTAGACTGAGACCGTATGTCTGAACGAGTTATCTCCCATTAAACAACATTTTCGATTTAACTTTACGCATTCAATGCAGTCCAAAAAGGGTAATATAGGCAAAGGAGGTAAATGACAAAACCTTCATCACCAAAGAAACTTTGATCATTAATTTGCATAATTATAGTAAAAATTACTATAATTTGACCTCCAATGAATTACAGCATTTTAAAATAAATCTGAAGCACTGGTGCGTAGGGGGTTCGGGAGAGTTTTGTTTCCCGGGTTCGATATACATGTACATTTTAAATTTCTATAATCTTTAGCGGAAATTCGGAATGAGAAAGCCCTGTGCTTGATGTTACAGATGATTTCCATCGTTCAGCAAATTGATTAATTTATAGTAGGCCCTATGCCTTCACTTGTTTGTGATTGACACACCAACACACCATGTAGTGGTCAATCTAGGATATATATTCAATTAGATTTTTAAGATTTTTTCCGCCAGTTCTCAAAAAGAATCGCCAGTACCCCAAAATGTTATCGCCAAAATCAAATTTTAATCGCCACTTTCATATTTTTGTCGCAAATTGCGACTTTGGCGACCGACAGCTTTGGCCTTGGTACCAAATGCTCTAGATTCTCAATTGACATCATTATATAATAATTATATTGTCCCACTGATTTGTTATTTTTGTACAAACCAGTGGGACATTTGCTCCACTCATTGTACTAAGAATGTCCTGCAATGAATCACAGACTATGTCAGTTCTCATGTTGTACCAAGAGACTATCTTCGAGAATACATGGTCCGACAGTTTAAGTTTAGTAGGACAAAGACAACCTTTCTGATCTCTATTAAACATTACATTCTAAGAAAAAAAACCCGGAATAAATGTCTAACAATAAATGTCAACAAGTGTTCTGAAATAATCTAGATCGACTGATTTGTATTAACCTGGGACTAAAGAATGACTTTATATGATAATATCTAAGTAAAAAGTTTTTTTTATACTTTCGATGGCCTACAGTGTAGTAAAGACAAGTAAAATCGGAATTTTGAACTATAAAAACGAAACGAAATTGGATCTGTGTTTTAATCAGATTGAAAGTAATTACTCTTATTAACTTTCTTATAGTGCACATCATCATTTGTCCTAAAAATTGAATAACAATTTGGGAATTGTGTGTCAGGAATACGGTGTCGGGATAATATGGATAAAAAGTAGTCGATGTAGGGATGTGTTGTCAGGTCGATGAGTATAAGGTGTTCATTCGGTGGGTATCGACATAGCCTATCGGTCATTTCTAGTGAAGAAATGTAGAAAATAATAATAAACCTGGTGCAACCATATAGATATAAATATATATAAATATTTAAGCTATAAATACTAGGATGAGATAGCATACTATTACAGAAAAATCTCCACGTGGAGGCCGATATGACTATGATAAAGATAACGTGAGTCATGTGTTACGACGAACGGTATATAAGGTCGAAGACCGGTTTCATTCATTAATAGATTAGATCTCACCACGACAACATTACAGTCAACGTGTGAGCTAAAAATATTTATCAGTTTCATATTTTTAAAATCCAACTGCTGAAAAAAATCTACAAAATGGTAAGTAATAATTCATGCTTTCTATTCTTAATTTGGTAATAATGTAATAGTTGATCCTTATACCATGGACCTTATAATACAAGGCCTACTCACAGAAAAGAGCGCTTTTTGGTCAATAGCGACCAAAGTAATTCAAAAACTAACCGACAAGGAAAGTAACAGGTATGCATATTCTACACATCATATCCAAAATATAAATGATTTCATAAAAAATTGATAAAATTATGGATGATTGAATTATTGACAAAAAAGGTTTTGTCAGTTGCGCCCGAAATATTGCAAAATATGTGACCGACAAGGAAAGATATGTTATAGGTATGCACATTCTACACATCATAATTAAAAATTGAAATTAATTCATGAAAAATTTAAAAACATTGCATGAAAAAAAAAAAATTGAAAACGAAAAATCGAATATAAAAAATTGAAAAATTTCATGAAAAATTGAAAAATTTTGATATGGTTTTAAAATAACCAACAAGAACAGGGTATTTTCTGTCAATTTCATTCATTTACCCATAATGTCTGTATGAAATAATTTAAAGTTTGGATATGAACCCCACTTCGAAACGAAAAGGTCGCTGAATTTCAAAATACGTAAACCCATAAACCTATATCTTCCTTTTAAATCTTATCTAGTCCATATATAGGTTAAGTGGGCTATAGTATGCCAAGTAACGAACAGATAATAATTCTTGCACGACTATACTATGTTTTTATGCTGCATCATCTGTATTTATAGAAGTTACCGTCATCCATATTATCTTTCTCGAATCACAATCTAAACATAGAACATTGTTAGATTACTTAGATATGTATATAAGCTTGGCCGCATGTACACTTAAGTGTCCAACTGTTCATATGATTAATCAGCCTCGCGGTTAGGATTTCCAACAGAAGCACGCTGGTTGGCGGCTGCCCTGCCTTGTGTCATTCGTTCACCGGTTCCCTATCTAAAGGGGAATTACTTACATTTCAAAAGATGCATCTCACGTTTAACGAATCGGAGACCCCCACCCATCCCCGAAAGGTGAATTATCTACAATTCCAAAGATGCATCACCGACCCTATTTTATTTATTAATCCGAAATCTATGATTTTACTTATGAGAATAAACCGAAAATATTGGACATACGCCGGGATGTGCAAATCAATTTTATAAACATAAGTAAAGAAGTTGTAAGATAAAAGTTATAGCAACCACTATCGCTCCTCCTAATCACAGACAAGGGAGTTTTTTGGATGGTTGAAATATTGACAAAAACGGTCTTGCTAATCATCGACAAGAGCGTTATTTTGTCAGTTGCTCCCGAAGTATTCAAATTGTGACCGACAAGGAAAGATATGTTATAGATGTGCATATTCTACTCATATCCCAAATGTAAATGATTTCATACAGACATTATGGTTAAATGGAATTGACTAAAAAATACCCCACACTTGTCGGTTCTTTTCGGCGATTAGTAAAACCATATTAAAATTTCAATTATCCATAATATTTTAAATTTTTCATAAAATGATTTCAAGTTAGTCCAATTCCATAAAACCCTGGGATTATATTGTGCACACTGATATTTAAAATTTGATTATGATATGGACCGTGTATATACATTTATGTTTATTTTGTGACTAAAATTGTCGATTTATTACTTTTCTTTTATGGAAATACCCATTTATTATTTCTGGATGTGGTAGTCACTGTTTCTTAACTATTCTTTATTTATTTTCAGCGTGAATGTATTTCTGTTCATGTCGGCCAGGCTGGAGTGCAGACAGGCAATGCCTGTTGGGAATTGTACTGTTTAGAACATGGTATCCAACCTGATGGTCAGATGCCATCAGATAAATCTATTGGAGGCGGTGATAATTCCTTCAACACTTTCTTCAGTGAGACTGGTGCTGGTAAACATGTACCTAGAACCGTATTCATTGACCTTGAACCAACGGTTATCGGTAAGATAATAATTCTACATGCTTTGTCTCAAACCTCAGTCGACTTTCTGTGTCCTGGTGTGATTTAATTGTGGAATCCATAAATTTTATAACGTTTGCAGCCCTTCATTTCAGCCACGCCTTATGATTCATAGTAGGCTCTGATTTTAAGAATAACGCTAGGAGAGATACCCCGCAATGAGAATCTCCTTTTCCATATTAGCCCAATCTGAAATACAAGATGCTCAAATGGATTTTTGTCTATCTCCAGTCATTTTTCTCAGTTATAACTCTCTTTTTTCTTTTCAGATGAGGTAAGAACTGGCACATACCGCCAACTCTTTCATCCAGAACAACTTATTTCTGGCAAAGAGGATGCTTCGAATAATTACGCCAGGGGTCACTACACGGTTGGTAAAGAAATCGTCGACTTAGTTCTCGATAGAATTAGGAAATTGGCGGATCAATGTACAGGTCTTCAAGGGTTTCTAATCTTTCACAGCTTTGGTGGAGGGACCGGTTCCGGATTTACTTCCCTTCTTATGGAAAGATTGAGTGTTGATTACGGAAAGAAATCCAAACTGGAATTTGCAGTTTATCCATCGCCTAATTTATCTTCAGCAGTAGTCGAGCCCTATAACTCTATCCTTACTACCCACACCACTTTGGAACATTCCGACTGTGCCTTTATGGTTGATAATGAAGCTATCTACGATATATGCCGTCGTAACCTAAATGTCGAACTTCCTACTTATACGAATCTAAATCGCCTTGTTGCTCAGGTTGTTAGCTCCATCACTGCCTCTCTTCGATTCGATGGGTGTTTAAATGTTGATTTGTCCGAATTTCAGACCAACTTGGTGCCCTATCCACGTATCCATTTTCCCCTCACCACGTATGCTCCAATCATCTCAGCCGAAAAGGCTTTTCATGAATCGCTTACTGTTTCGGAAATCACTAACGCTTGTTTTGAGCCAGACAATCAAATGGTCAAATGTGATCCTCGTCACGGAAAGTACATGGCCTGCTGTATGTTGTACCGAGGAGATGTTGTTCCCAACGATACAAATAAAGCTATCGCTGTGATTAAAACAAAGAGAACCATTCAGTTCGTTGATTGGTCACCCAATGGTTTTAAACTTGGGATCAACTACCAGCCACCTACCGTTGTACCAGGGGGTGATTTAGCCAAAGTACAGAGGGCTGTTTGCATGTTGAGTAATACCACTGCTATTGCCGAGGCATGGGCTCGCCTAGATCATAAATTTGATCTAATGTACGCCAAGAGAGCTTTCGTGCATTGGTATGTTGGCGAAGGTATGGAAGAGGGTGAATTCTCTGAGGCTAGAGAAGACTTGGCTGCCCTGGAGAAGGATTATGAAGAGGTCGGCGCTGACTCAATAGAAGATGAGGACGGAGAAGATGAATACTGAATGTGACTTAAATGGGCAAAATACTATGCCAACGGCACCAAACACCACAGATGATTTTGAAATGGATTTCGCTTTGATATATTAAAGTGAATTAAAAATTAAAAAAAAAAACAACAATTAAATATATTCTATTTTCTTAATAAAATACATTCATGCAGCTGTCCTACAGTTTTGTTGGGGTTTTATTTTCAGTTTGCGAAATACGATAAAGAATTTATTGGACGAGAAATGGCAATAGCTGGAAATTGAACCACTTTGAATTTAAAAAGAGAATTATAATTTAGAAGGGAAACGAACACATGTCGAGCCTATATTTGTTATGGAAACCCCTGATATTGACTGTCGTTGGTGTAAGGTCGACCCTCAAGCTCATATAGTCTTACACTTCCATCTTGATAACGGCTAAAATTGGGCAAGTTTAATACCTGATATGATGTGTGTGTGTGTATTTGGGGGGGGGGGGGTACCAACTATTGATTACTCTCATTAGATGCGGATTCGAAGTAACATATAACTGGTCTCACAATTACAGGAAGCCTCGCAAGTCCTGTCGTCGACCGTGGCGTTTAACAGGAAATGGTACTGTGAGACACTGTTATAGATTATCTAGATATGGCGTATGTATAGATATCGCAACACCCATGCAAGTCCTGTTTACTGTGGCGTTTGACAGGGAGTAGCACTGTGAGAACCTGTTAGATTCGAAACATTTGGCAAGTGTAAATTACTGGTTCGTATCGCGTATCCGTATCGACTTTGCGTGTGACGTCATCAATGTGTGTGCATTTCTCATATGTGATATCGGCACACGGATACGGCAGCAGGTAGCGAACAGCTTTTATACGGAAAAGGTCCGTATAACATCATCGTCTTTTTACCGTAGCGTTTTTATAAATCTGTGTGTATCCTAGAACACGAAGGTGTATATTTGATGTGATTTTAACCATGATAAAGGGTGGCGACCCCATTCCAGACCCAGGATCAGATCACGACCCCTCGAAGAACAAAGTCACATTTTACTTATAACAGAAACCTAGATCAATGAATTGTTCATGGTAAGGTCGTCCATGCGACGCGCCGGCCATCTCCCTTCACAACAAGTAACCACTTTAAAGAGAAACGTAATGTCAAGAAGATCCGACGTAAAATGAATGAACCGACGCTCACTGTCTGGTTAGCTCGCCGCCTGCCAAATGCTGATGACTCTCAGGCCCGAAAACTACCTGAATTGCGCCCGCGATGGACGGCGCGCAATTAGGCAATAGTAATTATAGGATGCTGGGCTAATGCACAAAGTGAAAGTGCTACGGGGAAACCCGTCAGTGAGAAAACAATGATAGACCGATGAAACAAATCGTGGCCATGAGAGGAAATCGATTAGCAATGTGGCAAGAGCTGTATAGATCACATGTTCCCGAAGCAACGGCCGCAGTTTTAAAACTTCTATCCGTTGCCAGAATTGTCTGAAATTCCCGAACTTTTAGGTACGTTATTTCCCTTTACTGCAGACACGTGAACAATAACGTTGTCCAATCAGAGGTCGTGATACAAACACATATCCAAATACAAACATTGCGATCTCCACCCAAAATGAATAGATAAGTTTACAACCGTTAAAAGGTTGGGTTTTTTTCAGTTGAAAAACTCACGGAAAAGCAATCGACACTGTTTTAGAGACTTGAGAAGTATTTATTTGCACGAAAATTGGCAGCAGCAAGTCTCTTTGTTTTAGAAATTTCCAACAACTTTGACATTGAACGAACCTTGAACTTTGCAACTCGATTATCACAGGTAGATATTTCACTTGGAAAGAGCGAGACCAATCGAAATTAGTGACGAAAAATGTAGAGGCCTTGATAAGATGTACGGAGTTAAAGCGAGATCAATCCTTCTATTGAAGATGTATAGATAGATTACATGAAAAGATAGCATTATTTTTAAAGTTCTCAGACTAGTCCGCGACACCTGGAAAAGTGCTCGCGACCCAAGTTGGGTCGCGACCCAGAGGTTGGGAAACGCCGATGTAGATCAACCGGTTAAAATCACGTCATACCATTTCAGCGTCTAAAAGTAGCAAAAAAGACGGTAAAAGGACACGACAATGTTATACGGACCTTTTGCGTATGAAAGCTGTTCGTTACGTGCTGCCGTATCCGTGTGCCGTATCACGTATGAGAAATGCACACACATTGATGACGTCACACGCAAAATCCATACGGATACGCGATACGGACCAGAAATTTACGTTGCCACAGCACGTATCGAACAGCTTTCATACGGAAAAGGTCCGTATAACATCGTCATCTTTTTACCGTCTTGTTTGCTACTTTTAGACGCAGAAATGTTGTGGTATAGCGTGTTTATGAATCTATGTGTATCCTAGAACACAAAGGTGAATATTTGATGTGATTTTAACCATGATAAAGACTGGAATTTAATCATTATATTTGGTGAGGTTTTATGGGAATTTTCATATTTTTCCTGTCTGTCTGCATGCTGGTTGATCTACGTGCTAAATTTAGTGAGGTGGGACCTTGCAAATCTCTAAATGATGTGATTCTATGGTAAATGATACATTAGTGAAACCAAAAAATGCTGTCGAGTCGAAGTCGAAGATTTTTAATAATATTCGACATTAGATGTGTTTTAATAGCTTAGCGACTGTCGAGAGACTTTACTCCCTCTAGGAATTTGTAGGCTAGACACTTGACTAGTACTGATGGTGATCTTGGTAGATAATTGCCATCATGCTGTAATAGAACTAAGCTCAACTCATCTACTACGCGGCGGGAAAATCTTCCAAAACTCTAAAACTACATTGACGCAACGTATCACGTATACGTGATACGGATGGGAAAAAATCTGCTTCCCAAAAGTCTCTAAAGGTCCGTCCATACTACATCCGTATCCGTATCTGTAAATACGTGCGTGAACACGTACTGGTATACTTTAGTCATTTTTAGAGAAAGGGTTGAAATAGAATCCGTCAAGCCGGATTGATTGCTCCCAGAGCGTATTTTTGTAAAGTGCGTCCGGCATTTCGGCTAGTGAGCCGAGCTTTAGCCAATCAGCGAGTACTTTCCCCTTATTACATCATCTCCCCAAATAGAAACTCAATCTCTGACAGACAATTCAGCATTGAAAGCCGGATGTTTTCGCGTTTTCTATTTGAACGGCAAAACGCGGATACAGATGCGGGTGCGGATACGGATACGTTTATGGATACGGATGTAGTATGAACCGAGCTTAATATCTAGATATGGCGTATACGTATAGATATGGAAACGCCCAAACTCTGCGATACACGTTCGAAACTGAATGATTTACGATAAAAATATTTTTTTTTTATTTTATGTCCCAATGTACAATACCACCAAGTTTTAAAACTTCATTGAGAACTTTAGTCTGTATGACATTCACAATCTTTGATAATCTTTGTTTTCCACTGGATCCCCGTTATCATCCCACCACAAACAAAACCCGTCCAGAACAAGCAGCTTATATTATATTCCACGCGACAGATGTAGATTGAGTTCAATGTCTCTTTATTTTAAATAACGTAGTTGGGGTGAAACGATTTTTCCTTAGACCCAATGAACAATTATTGGTACATCATGAGTGAAGAGAAAAAAGTCCATTATAAATGTAAGGATACTTAAAAATTATCAACACCAAGTAGCGTAACTATACGTCACTGCGAGGGGTCATTTTTTTATTTTTTTTTTTTTTTTTTTTTGTGGGGGGAGGGGGGTAGTCTGCAATCTGCATTATCGGGACATTAGAAAGATCAAGTTGCCTGATAACATTTTATTTTGCCAAGAACCACTGCTTATAATAAAATTAATGTCGTCAAACTCAAACGCTAGCTTCCACATGAGATCAATTAAGCACCCCTAAAGTTCACTCGCCCCCTCTCCCAATAATAAAATCAATAGCAATCATAATATTACATGAACCGTGAACTTTATGTCAGCTTGAATATAACGGCTTTCCGGCGAGATAACGATCAGCGAACAACGTCTTAAGAAGTTTCACTTTTCAACTTTTTCGAGTACTCCAACCTGGATATAACTAACATGTGTGATACTTTCCATTAGGACCCAATATTATCACTACAAATTTTTAGAATTTTCCCGCCAAAATAGGGGGACTGCTGCCATTTTAATTTTTCCAACCCAAATTGTATTGTTTGAAAAGTTTCAGAACGATAAAAAAAAAAAAAAAAAAAAATACATCCCCCTGATATTGGGCCCACAATATTTAGCGTAGCTCATTCAACATGGATGTGGACCACACTCCCGCCAACATTCAGGAGGGCTGCCATTTTGAAATTTACGCAAAACATCAGCTTTTGGGAAAAGTTTGACGTTTAAAATTTGTATTGACCTAAATTTCTGATGACAACATATAGAACTAGCAACCGGGGGCTAGGCCAAAATACCTACTCCGGATATCCAGGAATGTTCAAAATATCACATTTCTTTACCTTGAATTCGAATGTGACAACCAACCGACTGTCTGCTGAGTGAAGATTTTACATTTTTTGAGAACCTAAAAAAAAAAAAGCAGAATTTTTCCGGACTTTCTAAAATTAATGAATTTAGATTGAAATTGACCAATATTTAGTTTTAAATTTTGAATATAATGGGAAATATTGAGTTATTGATCTAGCTCCTTTAATACAGAGGTGGGTGTATTTTCAGAGAGAGAGAGAGAGAGAGAGGGGGGGGGGGGGTAACGTCCACTCGACACAAACTTGGCTATTTCAGGACTAACATTTCAATGGATATATTTTCTTGTAAATATTATTTTAGTTAAACTTTGAACTGTTAAATTGCAGCCTCACTATCAGTTTTATTATTCGCGCGCTTTGCCTTGTACGTGGCTTTAACCGCCTGCCTGCATATTTCACAACGCTGCCTTTTCAATTCCTACCCTCCCGACCAGTAGCATTATTGAGGTTGGGTGCTATTATATGTTCATGTCTGCTTTTTATGATACTTGCTAACTTGTTGATTTGTTATTGTCACTTTGTCCATTGTGGGACTTAGCCTATAATATGAACATTTAGTTTATATACAATGTTCAATGTTGTCCTTATCATGAACATTTGGCATTGTGGGGAAAGGGGGATAATTGAGAATTAAATATATTCCAATTTCATTTATATATTTTATGGTTTAAAGTCTTTGTTAAGTTGATTGGTAATTTTTTGCGCGTAGGGGTCTTAAGCAGTGGACTGGGAGGAAACCGGAGGACCCGGTGAAAACCCACGAGGTTGGACAGGCGACCCTTATATATACTCCCTGTCACGTACAAGCGGGGAATCGAAACCACGTCACTTGACTTAATGACAGACCTCATATTTACACGCGCACGCGTTAAACCACTTGATAGACGACCCCCGCCCACCCCCCGCAATTTTGCAGCTAAGGGCAGGCAGGAATTGTCATGGGACTTCGTCCTTCCACTGCCTTCCAGGGACCGTTACAAAATGAACTTTAAATAAGTATATATTAATAACAATATATAGGGCATAATAATAATATGTCCATTTAATTTATATAATATAGCGCCAAATCCACAAATACTGAAATAGTGCTCATATTACTAATACTATAGCTATACCCATAAACAGTTTCATTTCTGCATGATAACACTGCATTTTGATTTTGTTTGACAGTTTAATTATGCTTAGTGTGGGTCTAAATGGGTTGTGTTTATCGGGGTTGGGGGCGGTCTGATTAAGCAAACTCAAGGAGTGGGACCTTGAAGTTTGAACTGGGGCGGCACAACTCGCCGTAATCTTTGGCCATTGCGACCAACATCTTCGATGCATATATATTTATATATTTCTGAATTTTTATAGATATGTTTTCGTCACTCTTCGTTTATCAATATGCCATAAATAATGTCACTAATGTAATTACGTAACATGTTTTTTTTTTCGGCGTCTTTTACGCTTGGTATCGGCTTGCTCTACAAAGTACAAATCTTACACATCAATCAACACTACAGACAGCCCCTGGGACTCGTTAGTGGGAAAACAATTTAATCGTTAAAACAATCTTACGTTACACTTCGACTGTTTTATCATTTTCGGTACGGTACATTTGATTATTGATACAGTGAATTTACCCAAAGGCGATGTGTCCCAACGTGTTAACTTGGCCTCACGGGCAAAACTGTCGTCTGCTCGCCTGTTTCTTGTGACACCTTTTTTTAACACCTGTATTACTTAAATTCGGATTTCAAGAACTTTTAAGTCAAACGAAATAAGTCTTTAACATAAATATTAGAATACGAAATTGATTGTTAAGTACAATATTTACATGTATATATAAAAATCTAAATTATAATGACACAAAATAAATATTATGAGAACATCAATACATCATTGAAACACAACCCGTAAAATTAATTAGTTCGTTTCGGGATAAATTTGCCACGTTAGTTTTATGTTACCCATGATATACGTCACCAAGCATGGCGATAAGTTAGCAGTCGGCATAATATCTTGAGAAGTTCACCATCTCATCCGTCCTTTCAGATAGGTGCCTTGTTTTATGTTGTCAAAATGAGAATTTTTATGAGGAGAAGAAGCAAACTCTGGACGTATTTGTCTGCGACAGCTTTATTCTTAGGTTGCTACTTTTTGTACAGAAATTGGTATGACTTCACAAACTGGAAAACTGAGGATGACATTCTATCCATCCGGAAAAGACGATATTTAGATTATCAACGTGGCGAAAGTTCACGATCAGGACCTGGGGAATACGGTGTGCCCGTTATACTAGAAGGAGAAGAGAAGAAAAGAGCAGATGGATTGATGGCAAAAGAGGCTTTTAATATAGTAGCAAGTGACAAAATTGCCTTGGACAGAGCTGTCAGGGATGTCAGAGATCCAAAGTAAGTTTTAATTCTTCCATTAACACTCAGTGAGACTGTATACTTACTATCATAATAATGTTGTGAAGAATGGCTTGCGATTGCTTACTAATATATTGCGAAAACTATGAGAATATGCTTTGACGGTGAATTTTAGGAGCACGTTGATGTTCCTAATTATGTTTGCAACACCCCATGAATGACTGTGATTGCTCTCACGATTGTCTGGCAACATTTTGTGATCATTTTGAAATGGTGGCAAATTGCATGCACAAGCATAGTTCAGCTCTGAACGTAGGTCTCATTACACTCGCCCTGTACGTTCAGGAACTGTCATATTGAATCCTTGTCGAAAATCAAATCACTTCCTAGTCAATTTTACTGGGCAACTTTTTACTGCTAAATGGTCGTGTGTCAGTCCCTGTGAACGCCTGAACAATGTAAATGAACATCTTAGTGAGAGGGTAACGCACAAATTTATGAACTCGGCCATATAAGATGAAACGAAATTTAGGTACGCCTGGGAGAAAAAAATTGAAATCTTTGAAAAGTTGAGAATCTTCAGTCATTTATTGCTTTGCCTAGCCCAATTACAATAATTAATTTACAATAAAATTTTTTCAAAAATCCCAATTTTTCCCCCCCAGGCTTACCTAAATTTTGTTTCATCTTATATGGCCGAGTTCGTAAATTTTTTCGGCAAGGATTCAATAGGACGGTTCCTGAAAGTACAGGGCGAGTGTAATGAGACCTACATGTACATTCAGAGCTGAACTAGCACAAGCACTGTGTGAGAGTAGCATAAGTGGAAAAGCAAAAGTTATGGGCATGGGTTTATATGCAATTAGCCACCTTTCCTATGGTTGTGTACGGTAGTTGTTTCATTTGTAAACTGTTCACACAGAATTTGTAAGCATTCGCGAAGTTCACATGCATTGTTATAGTGTATACATTTGCAAGGCCTCACTTTTTTTCAGTTTTTTCTGCAGGTCAATCTTATCATTTTAGCCGAATTTACTGTGAATTTCAAATTTTGATATTAACAAGGATATTCTTAGCATTAAGGAAATCAGTACACAAATTCTGAAGCAGTGGCTGTCAATAGAGATCTTTTACAGTGAAAAGAAAACAAACACGTCATTGTTTCATGTGTGCTTGTGACGTCATCCTGTATGTCTGTGTGCGCGGCTAGAAAATGTAAGAGTGTACACAAACATGTTTCTTGTGGCATATGTATTGAATTCCCGATATTTTTTAGAGTCTGTATGTATTGTTGATTGTGTTAAAAATAGAGTGTTGAAATGGGAAATACTGCTTGTTTCGATATACAGCTGCTAAAAAAAAAAGATTCCGTGGACCAACAAATGGCAATTTCAGTTCAAGTTGAATAATTTTTAAATATCAAATAATCTAAATAATCAGTACCAGTATATGAAAAATAGCTGGAAATTATTGAAATATATAATTAGGAAATATGTTTGATCATCTGATTTTCGTGTTTATTCACATGCCAATGCAAAAGGTCCCTATTATATAGCTTGTAAGATAATGTGAGTAGACTATAGTTGATAGTCAGCCCAATGTTTCAAACCCCAATGCTTCGCCGTATAGATATATTGTAAATCAAAAACTCCAGATGACAAACACAAACACTTTCAGGTCATTAGTAACAATTTAGAGATCCATAATAAATCTTGAAAAAGGAAAGTAGGAAAGGCCAGATTCAAATACACCCTGAAGTACCGGTACAAGTACCAGTACAATATACATCAGGGTCCCTGATGTATATTGTACCAGTACTTGTATTGTCTTTACAAGTCACACAAGTGGGGAAAAAAGTGAATATTTCTCACAGATCCTTTCAAAAATTGGTGATTTTTCTTCTTATTGCACAGTAAAGAAGTCTATACATAAAGCAGTGATTCATACAACTACTCTCTCTTTGAATAAACTATTAAAATTATGACAATTTATTATTTTTGTTTATTTCAGATGTAGAGATATAAAATATCCGAAAGTGTTGCCCAAAGCTAGTGTAATTATCATATTCCATAATGAAGCCTGGTCACCATTATTACGTACAGTTCATAGCGTAGTCAACCGATCACCACCAGAATATTTACATGAAGTTATTTTATTAGATGATTTTAGTGACAGACGTAAGTAGTATACACGTAGTTAGAGTAGCCCTTTTTTTCAGTTTTGACAATCCAATCAAGTTTATCAAATAATTCAAAAGCATGGCCTTTAGATTAGAGAGTACATGAAGGGTTTTAGCTTATTACAAATACAGATACAGTTAAGATTCAGGTATTATAGTACCGTATATAAAACTTCAAGGCCACTGTTGATCAGTGGTTAAGACCCTGGCTCACTAACCAGGTCTTTGGTTCGATCCCTGTGTTGTCCGAGAAAGTTCCTCATGTTAATTGTACTTTGACTTGAACATGGTTGAAACTATTTCAGTAAAGATCCTACAGTGACTGGTCTTCTTTAAGTTATGAATTCTTTATAATATTATAAACCAGCTATTAATTATCTTACAGCTGAATTGGGTAGCAAGTTAAATGCATATGTAGCCGAAACATGGCCTGAAGGTATTGTTAAAATAGTTCGTACAGATAAACGATGTGGTTTAATACGAGCGCGAATAGAAGGAGCAAAACCAGCAACAGGAGATGTGTTGATATTTTTAGATTCTCATTGTGAAGCTGGACCTGGATGGTAAGTAATCAGAATTTTTTGGAAGATGTAATTTTCTCATTGAGACTTAATAACAATGTCAATACTTTGTGTTGGCAATCTGAATTTTATTCTCAAGAATGAATACTATAGATATTTAAGTAAAGAAGTTAGTATTGACATTTTAATGTTTTAATAAGTTTACTGAGCTTTTCAGAAATGTTGATTTCAAGACAGTTAATCATATTACTTTAAAGCAATGAAGTTTATGTAATGTAGGATTAATAAACTTGGGACATGTACTATATCAATAAACACATTGGTCTTCACAGTCACATGTTTACTTGAAATAGTCTGTCTTTTGAAACTGAAATTGTAGTTGATAAAATTGGGTTAAGAATACACCATTTATAAAAGCATTTTTACATGACTATAGATTTATTACAATTACTCTTTATTCAAAAGTAAATATTTATTATATCAAAATATGTTGTACAATATTCTTAACCCAACTTTAACCATATAGTTTAAAGGCATTTGGTTTTATAAAGTATCAACTTGAAATCAGCTTTTCATGTCTACAAGACCTAAATTCTCATTAATCATTTATCTTTTTTTATTGATTTTGTATACTAGTAAATTTGTCAACTCTTTCAATTGTTGTGATTCTTAATACCGGTATGTAGATTTATAGATCCTACATAGATAGACTGCAAAAGTAATACCGCTCCCTTTAGAAGAGCTAAAAGTGGCTTTATTATCTTCTACATAAAGAAATTAATTTGTAAATTGTACAGTAAACTTAGTTACTGATAGGCATGTGAAAAAGCAAATAATTCAAGTACTCATCAATTTTGAACACTTTATCTACACTTAGACTTACATGTACATGATAAGCTTATAACAACTACTTTACTTAATTTCTAAAATACTTAAAGTCTGGATCCATGTGCTTGTCATTCTAGCTAGAATTGTCATACGGGTACATTGAATAATTGAAAGGGTTGACATGTTATTACTTTATATTTAATTGTAAGTATTTGGCAGGCTTGAACCATTATTAGCTCGTATTAAAGAGGACAGAAAAAATGTTCTTTGTCCTGAGATCGATTTAATTGACAAAGAAAGTCTTCAGTATGGAGGGACGGGGAGCTTCTCAGTTGGGGGATTCTGGTGGAGCCTACACTTTTCATGGCGTCCCATTCCACAACGTGAAAAAGATCGTAGAAAATCATCTACTGATCCGATTAGGTAAAATTATATAAACCGACCGCGTGAAGCGCATAGCATGTCTTCATTTGCTGCTGAAAGTGTAAAATTGTGTGATTTTCTATATACATAAAAGTTTAAAGTCCCAACACTGCCAGAATAAAGGTTATGTAAGAGAGTATTACTATTAGACCGATACAATCAAAAGTACTTTTATCAATAAACATTATTTAAACCGATCAATTTTAACTTGAGTTATGGCCAATAAAGCTTACATTGGTTTCCATTGTGTGTCTAAAATGAATAAAGTACCGATAATGATTCTTCTATATATATATTGTACAAGCGAACCCATTCTTCATGAATGATTTTAATTATATACAGTAATAACGCCCATTATATTTACATTAAAATGGTACAGATTTTCTACTTCTGAGATATATGAACGATTTCACTTGTTCACCTTTAAGAACAACAAATATTAAGGATCTTGAAAGTGAAGTTGACGTACCATTTCATATGAGTATTTATGAGTTTTCAAATATTTTGAATTAAGGCCACAGTGAAAACCTTTGATGGCTGATAAAAATATACATGTATTACCAGATAACTTTAAGCTTATAATGTAAACAGAATAACACAATTGCTTACTGCTTTTATCTGCTAGCGAAATCTGCTTATTGATTTCTGCTTCACTGCATTCAACAATATATTCACTAATACATTTATTTAAATGTACATGTATCTCTAGCTGACTTTTCTTCAAGTAGACCTACATGTCATTATTTGCTTTTAGAAATATTGTACAAAAAAAACCCCAGATTTATATTGATTTATTTACAGATAATGTAACATAAGAGAGAACTGATCGTACATGTAGATGTACTTTAATATGTGCAGACAGTTTGACAATACTCATGATATAATTGTTTATCGTCATCAATGATAATATTGTAGTTTATAATCTAGATGTTTATCTACATGCATGTGTTTGATAAAAAGTCAGCTAGTGGTTACATGTATATGGCATCTAGACAGAAGATTCTGTATCAATATGGTTGGGTTGGATTTGCGAATGATTAGCGCATGCGCGTTGTATCATCAGTTGTGTCATTGAGTCAATGAGCGTGGTTGTATGTGATAAGAGAGTAGGGTCGCCTGTCCAACCGCGTCGGTTTGCTTGGGGTCCTCCTTTTTCCTCCCACTGCTAAAAAACCCTATCACAAACAAATTATTGAAATAAAATTGAACCATATGTTAGTCCCGAAATGACCTAGTTTGTGTCGTGTGGACGTTAAACCCCATTTCTCTCTCTCTCTTTCTCTATCAATATATTGTAGCCTACCTGTGTAGCTTAGCATGGTTTGTTTTTTTATTAATTATTAATAATTTGTTACATGTATTGGTCTCAGCTCATGGAAAAATCTTTTAGTACATCAATGCAATTTTTAAAATGATCAAGGAGTAGCCTAATTAATTCAGTTACATGTAATTTCAAAATTTGATGGCATTAAATATTGAAAAATTGTTATCCACATTTTTGACTGCCATATATTTGATTTGAATTGATTTCGAATTATTTAAGATTTTCATGAGAATAACCTTTGGCTGTGGTAGCACTATAATCTATAATCTCAGTAATTATTCAGTCAATACTGAAGAAACTGAAACTATTACTGGCTGACTTGTCTAGGGCATTGCAAGGTCTGTTTATCAAGCTTGATTCAACGATTTAAAGGTACTGCTGTCTGACAGAATTTCTGGCTTAATCTCATGGATTTTATCGGCATTATCTTGTTCTGTTTTTAAGTACCATTTGAAGGCATATATATTTGCACAGCTTTTAAAAGCGATAAAAAGTTTCTCATGAGGACAGCAGCTCTTTAAGGTTGTTGAGGGTGTATTGTTATGCTATCAGGTGATTTAACTGGCATTCATTAAAAGTTTATTACAAAGGAGAAAGTTACAACAGATAATATCCAGGTTTTGTTTCGTCTAGTACCATAAGTTAATACAGATGAAAGTCAATAAATAGCAAAAAATAATGTGACAGGTGTTTATAGAATAACAATATAATATTGCTAAAATCAATATATATTAATATCAATACATGTACAAAGAGCCAATTATTTGTTTTAAGAGCTAATTATAAACTGACAATTAATACAGTGAGACAAATTTGAAAATTGATATATTAAAGACTAGACCTGTAATGCAGCTATGCCGGGTTTCACTGGTTCCTTTTTACATTTGGATGTACATTCACATTTGTTTGTGGACACTCTACACACGTCACAAGTTTTATCCGATTTTGATGAAACTCGAAATATAGGTTGATATCCCAAAAATGTTGGTTCCTTTCGACATTGGCATGTATCTGACCATAACTTCATGGATTATGGCACTTGATTGTACAAAAAATCACGTTTTTAGCCTATAGACCATATAGAGGTCACAATTTTTATCCAATTTGATCAAACTTACAATGTATGTTTATAATCCAAAGATATTAGTTCATGATCAAATGCTCATTATTGAACTTAGTCAAGGTACTGGTGTAATGAAACTATACACCAAATTTCATCACTCGTACTTAATTAGAATTAAAGTTATCCTGTCCCAAAACATCAACCAATCAAACTACATGTACCTGATTATTGTAGAGGTTAATTTTTACTTTCCGATTTATTGTATTCCAGCATATGCATTTTTATACTAACTAATTAACAAAATGGTCTTTGGTTCTTGTAAAGTGTCTTGTGAATTGTGTGTTATTGTCAGTATGTTTTTACTAATTCTATGTGGGATCTATTTGGACGTTAAGGGATTTCTTTGTTTTAATGGTTGAATTATATGTGTCCGATTTGGAATGTTCTGAGGAAAAAAGTGAAATTTTGGGTTGTTCATAATTTTTAATGTAAGTAATTCCACGTAAAAAAGATGAATAAAATTATACCTGTAGTAGACAATGTACGTTATCTAGAGTAGAATAAAAAAAACAATTTTTAAACATACATTATGCAAGAGCTGAATCTGCCTATTACTCGTCTTTATTTAGGCCTGAAATGTTTTCTAAATTATTAATTAGACATTAATTAACTTATCCAACCCGGATTTCTCCGATATTAATTAGATTAGAACAGTTCAGCCATATTTTGATTTAAGCTAAAAATGGAGGAGCGAGGATTAGCTTCGAACAACCAGTACGGTGGTTGAGATTATTGCACACGTCTTGTCAAACCTTCAATGGCTAATATCTTCGCTCGCAATAGAGTAATTTGAATGAAATTTTCAAATTATTCATTTTACATTATCTATTTTCGAACTATTATAGCAAGAATGGCTAGCTCTTTATCTAAATCTTACATAATGTATCTTTAAGGAGGGAAAAATTGAAAATTATTGAAATGTTATGTTTGTTGTAAGTTAAATTGTATAATAATGCCTAACAGATCAATTATCTCATGTCATACAATGAATGAACATGTTAAAAGTTATGAACACCCCTGGGTCTTTAAAACAAGTACCATGGTTGATGTAATTAGTGGGAAACCTAACAAATGCATGGAAGCAGTGGAGAGAAATCAAAAGAAACATATCAAGATTAGGATTCTTGTGCATCTGTTGTGATGTTGGATCTTTTTAAAAACAAGAACTCACATTGTGATGTGCTATTCAACTATAAGGTACAGATATAAATGTGATGTCAAATGGTTAACAACAGCTTCAAGCCTGCTAAACTACGAAGACAGTGATTTCTTTTTTTTTTCTTTTTTTTGTGATTGTATGAAAATGATTAGATTGTAAATGACCTTTTGATGATGTACCACCAGGTTAGAACCAATGTTATACAGAATTAAACAGGACAGAAGAAATGTCTTATGTCCAATAATAACTAACATCATGGACACAACATTAGAATATTCCCCTTACCAGGCTTATCATGTTGGGGGCTTTACATGGAGCCTCCATTTTACGTGGCGATCAATTCCGGATGAAGATAAAGTCGGCCGAACTATAACAGATCCTGTAAAGTAAGTCAGTAGAGTTTAAGATATCATATTGGAATATTGGCCAACATTGTATTGTTTGGAACATTGGTATGCCACGTAAAACATTTTTAAATCTTGGTTGGTTGTCATAAGCAGTACAGGGAAGGGACATTGTATATAGTTAAAACATCTTGTAGTAAGTTCTCAAGGCCAGACTTTCAAATCTGTCAATGTCTCAGATGTTTGTGAATTTAATAAGGGTTAGATTTAAGGTAAATTTATCGTGTTAAAAGAAATTGGTGGACAGTTTCCATTCTTATAATAAAATGTAGAACATGTTGATAATAGTGAAACTAGGCGATCATGGTTTGGGCTGATACTTGGGAAAACAGATAAATCATGGTAGATGTTAGTGATACCAATCAGTCAAGTTGTTACAAGCTAGAAGATACCAATTCAGCTAGGTTACAAGCTGATAAATCACAGCGAATCAATGTGAATCCTCTTTCAAGTTGACAAACCATGGATGAAACCAAATGATGTTACAATCTTGTAGATCATAGTGAAGTCCCGTTACAAACTGGCAGATCATAGTGAAGTCATGTTACAAACTGGTAGAACACAGTGAAGTCCTGTTGCAAATTGGCAGATCATATTGATGTCCTGTTACAAACTGGCAGATTATATTGAAGGCCCATTTGTTATAAACTGGCATACATGTATCATAGTAAAACCAAAACAGTCATATTAAAAAGTGGTAGCTGATTGTAAAACGAAATCAGTGTTGTTGCAAGTTGGTAGCCCTGTGTGGATTGGGACAGAACAAACATGTATTATGTATTTTTTTGCCATTATAACTAAAAAGAAAAGTTTTGAAGGACAAATGAGATTTTTAATGGATGATTTGAGCCTCTCTTGTATCCATGGTTTTGTTTAATGCTTTTTGCTATTGTAATTAAGTTGTTGTAGCCCTTTGCATTTGCAGGTAGTTTTGAAATTTTTGATTTTTAATAGATTTGAAATTATTATAAGATTAATATCTCTAAAACCTTCTTTGTATTGTGGTAGTGGATGAATATTAGCCATTTATTAAGTATGCCATAACTTTTTTGCTTTGCATTTTACCACTGCGCCTGGCTTACCGTTGCATGATGATACATGTTTAATGTGCAGCTACAGCCGGTTTCTAGATATTGAATCTCAACTTTCCACAACTCCAGTGAGAAGGTCAATAAGTTATAATGCGGTAGTAATGATTTAAAAAGTTGGTTCAAGCCTGTTGAGAAAATTGGTTCAGAATAATGTAGTGCCATCATATTTCATTAAATTGAAATGATTTCAAACAGGATTGAACCACTACTCTTTCGAATTAAGCAAGATCGCCGAAATGTGCTGTGTCCTATTGTTGATGCCATTTCTGATGAAAATTTAGAGTTCTCTAGTAATGGAGGTTACAATGTTGGAGGGTTTACATGGAGTCTACACTTTACATGGCGAGATGTGCCTGACATAGATGTAAAAAATCGTCAGTATACAGATCCTGTACGGTATGGTATCTCTAACATTGAAGTCAATGTGTTTTGAACACCTATAATATCACTGATTTTTTTATGCTTTAGTTTCTTAGTTTTGTAAAGATTACACTATTTAGTATTTTGGTTATGTGTCTTTATTGAACAAAATATATTTTAGTATGATCAGTTTTATCTTAGATTTGGTTTGATTTTCAAGATTTAGTTTAGTCAAGTTCTTAGGTTACTATTGCATCTGTTTCTGAAAAATTATGTCATGAATACTTTTTTTTTTTTGTATTTATTTATTGCATACTTACCATAATTGATGACACATATTTATTATTTATTATTACACCCCAAACATTGTATAACAGGTTTTCAGTTTTACAAAGCACATAACATTATACCCATGTCACAGCATGAAAAAGTATATTTTTCTAACGTTAAGAGACAGACAAAGAGGGAAAGAAATAGGTTGATTATCTGAATTAAATAAATAGTCAAATTTCTAGAATTGTGAAAATAAACCAGATGTTTTACCTTTGTACACATCATCAAAGAACATGTTAACAGTAATGAAAAATGTTTTATAAAGCACAAATAATCAAAAAGTAATTAAAGTGGAAAGCAAACATAATTTTTGTATGGTAAAGGACCAACATTGTTACTATTAATAGTTTATTAACTGGAATATTAAAACTTATTTTAGAAATATGTTTATTGAATTTTGAATATTACAAATATTTTCTGTTTTTATAGATCACCTACGATGGCTGGTGGACTGTTTGCAGTAGATAGAGAATATTTTTGGGAGATTGGATCTTATGATCCTGGTATGGATGTCTGGGGTGGAGAAAATCTGGAAATTTCTTTCAGAGTAAGAATATATGTATTTAAAATATTCTTTGGTTTCTTTAAAATCTTTTAATTTGCCGCTAAGAAACTTAATAAAATGGCCAAATGGTTAGCACGTGCGCGCTGTATCATAAGGTCTGTCATTGAGTCAACTGGCATAGTTTCGATTCCCCGATTCGACGTGACGAGGAGTAGGGTTGTCTGTCCAACCTCATGTGTTTTTTCTGAGCCCTCCTGTTTCTTCCCAATGCTAAAGACCCCTACGCGCAAGTGAATTATTGAAATAAAATTGAACCAAGTGTTAGTCCCAAAATGACCTAGTGTGTGTTGAGCGGACGATATGAGATGAGTCAGTTTTGATGATTGATCGTAAATGTTTTTTGGTTTGTTTTTTTCAGGTGTGGATGTGTGGGGGACGTTTAGAATTTATACCATGTTCACGAGTTGGTCATATATTCCGCTCTAGTCATCCCTATACATTCCCTGGTAATTTTTACATGTAACAACTTCTTACTACATTTCTGTAAAGTCCCTCCCCCCATTTGGAAAGAAAATCTTTCACATTTCATGCCTTTATGGTGTGAGCTTACCTTCAGTAAAAAAAAACATTTATTTCCTTATATTCTGTAAAGTCCCTCTTCCACTGGAAGCAAAAAATTTCATACTTTCATTTGTAAGCTTACCTACAGTAAAACAATATATTTCACACCTGGCATCAAGAAAATCAAGGTCCATCTTATAAATTGCAAACTTTTGTATTATTGTAAAAAATTGCAAAAAACTCTGGTGTTTGTAAACTATTATTTATTTCTACAGGTAATAAAGATACACATGGAATTAATTCTATGAGATTAGCTGAAGTATGGATGGATGAATATAAAAGACTATTTTATGTCCATCGTAAAGATTTACTCGTATGTACAGTAGTAGTTATTATGTTTTAATTCTATCATGTCTTTGTTCACTAAATTGTACACTACAACCTAATTTTATTTCAAATTCCAACTGTCAAGGGTTCCCCACCCAACATGTACACCAGACCTCAATTTTTCGTTCAAGCAACGAGACATTGTCCTTGCAACACTGACGTGGGGAACACACGGTGAAAAATCTTAAGGTACTTTCTCAGACAGCACAGAGATCGAACCCAGAACTTTCTGTTTAGTGCCTCACCTTGACTACCTGGAGTTCAATGTGGGCTAAGAAGAGCCTATGTGTTGTTTTTAACTATCGAGGTGTCACCATGTCAGATGAGACAAGAAACTGAAGGCCATCTGTCTGCACATTGGTATGTTAGTGAAAAACATCTTCAAGTTTGGAATTCAAGGAATTGTAGATGGAAATCCTTAGTAAGTATATATGAAATGAAACCATTGTCATGGTGTTATTATTAATATTATGTGGTAAATTATATTTTAGGGAAAATTTCCAGGAGATTTAACAGAAAGAAAAGCTTTGCGTGAAAAATTACAGTGTAAAAGTTTTAAATGGTATCTTGATAATGTATATCCTGAAAAATTTGTTCCCGACGAAAATGTTCATGCTTGGGGAATGGTAAGAAATTATAATAAGAAATAAATACAGTATAACATTCTCATTTAAAATATCGACAACGCTTATAATTAATGTCAATGGTATTTTGAATGTTACAAGGCATACACCGACAACATTCTAAAATAATTTCACTCTAATTGAAAAAGAATTAGAGAGCCACTAGAATTAAGTTGTGAGGAGTTTCTTGTCCTCTCTGTTCATACACCACACTATATAATTAAAGATTGGATTCATGGTGGAACCATATCTAGAAATTGTTGTTTGGAAAGTGCAGAAATACAGCAGTTAATATCAACATAAAATGAACAAAATTTGATCATTTCTTTCATTAAGAGTAGCGCTTGAACAGGGCCACATTCAATTTTTCTAAATATTGATTTAAATAGCTGCCATCATTATCTTCTGTTGGAATGTAGAAACAGATAAACTATCACTTTTAAGTCTGAAGTCAGTTTGAATATATCTATCTACAAAATAAAATCGATCAATGTCTACCTGCAAAATAATCAATATACTGTCTTTGTGTTATTAATGAGCCTATAGTTGTTGATATACATGTTGCTTTACCAACTAAAGGATCAATCAAAAGGTTAAAACATTGCTAGATTATTTTATAAACAAGTAAGATGATCAATCGAGATGTTAATGAGATAATAATACTTTGACAATTCCCACTATGCTATGTACAATAAGAAACAAATGCCCTTTAACCACCAAGAGATGTAAGCACACATGAATATAGTAAATTATTATCTCTACACTGATAAAATATGCAGAGTAAAATGAGTATGGTTAGAAGCAGTGCTGTGGGCATAATTGTTAATGAATAGATAACGACTGGTATCTTTTGATCATGTTCTGATATAATGTATTCCATGCAAGGGAGGTAACTTGGTTTTCTCATGGAATCATAGTGTAAATATTATTCCACTACTGTCCATTATATTTATCACATCTGCCTATTAATAGTATTATCTCAGTTACTGGTTGGGAAAAAATATGTTTATTTTTTAACCATAAAATATGTCTCTGTTTTAGGTTAGAAATCCCAGCAGTAATTTGTGTTTAGACACTTTACAAAGAGATGAGAAGATTGTATTTGAAATGGGAATTTTTTCATGTCAAAATGGTGTCAGTGCTAATCAGGTTAGTTTTGTAAACCTTTGAGCATTTGTGCTCTTTTATATATACATCGCAATATTACAAACCAATAATTATTCCCAATAAATGATTTCAAATGACACAAGTAGTCTTTATTTCTACTGACTCTTATTTGATATTTCTTGTGTCCTTCTATAACAGACTAAACCAGTGTTGGGATTTCAAATTTATTTTTGTCCGACATTTTTACCGAAAATAAAGGGGTACAGACCACAATTATAAATCACAATATTCAAATTCGCACCTTGTTTTTTTTTTTTCATATTTAATTCCCATACGATATTCAAATTTATGTCAGTAATATTCATACGAAATTATGTGTTGTCGTAATACGATAGAATGAAAGAGTGCCACCAGTAATATTTCTCTAAAATTACCATATTTTTCGGGGTATACATCAAGTCCGGCCTTCGTTGTATTCTCCGTTTCAACTTATATACAGATGAAGGTTAAAAAAAAAAAAAGACTTGCATGCCCTATCGTCCCAAACAATTCACTACTTACACTATTCCAATTGAAATATTTGTCGACATTTCTTACCTTGTTTATTTCTTTAGTTAAAAACATAGCCCCCATTCAAAATTGTATCATAAACCCGAGAATATGCCATCAAAATTTACAATATTTTCTTCTGACATTACTCTTGTAATGTTTCCATCTTGTAATTTTACAAATCTTGCGAGATTTCTACTTTAGTTTTGGGTTATTGTGTTATTACCATGTGTCTTCAGAAACATTGTCGAGTATTTATGGGATAAAGCATGTGTGTGAAATATCTTTATTTAAAGTCTGCTTCCACTGAAGTGATATCGCAGATAATTTATCGGATATATTGATGGAACTTAGTGTGTAGTTTAATTGCTTGATACTTTTGAAAAAAATAAATGTGCGATTAATTAACATGTGTCATCTATTTATTTTGGGTTTTCGGCGGGGGACATCAGCCTCACTGTTGGCTTGTTCAGCATATCTTGATGTCCGATGGAGCATATTCCTGGTCGGACGTTTGGAAAATAGCGTAGGACATGTCCAGAATATACAGGAGAAATCCCAACACTGGACTAAACAATATGTTACTTACTGTCATACAACAGACTAAACATCCAGGACTCTAAAGAGGAGGGAATGTTTGTAAATTATAGTTTTATTCTGAAGAAGCAAAAAGTGAATTTCATAAAATGTGCCAAATACAACCCTTTTGAATTCGGACAATATAATTGTATTTTGATATTTAATATTCAGTATGACAAACTACATGTATTGAGTGAGAAAATAATTTGTTTTTCTTGTTTGTTATTTTTTCAGGTATTTTCCTACAGTTTGGATGGTGAATTAAGACGTGAAGAGGGATGTCTGACAACACATGGTGAAGATGGCTCTGTAGTAAAATTAGAACAATGTCGAAATAATTCATTACAAAAATGGAATCATGACAAGGTATATTATTTTATTCTTTAATTAGCTCTTGATGCTGGAATGTCATGGATTTGAATGCCTTCAGGACTTTGGAAATATGGTTCCCGCTTGTCTTGAACAAGGCTATAACCTTGTGGATGAAAGCAGAGATCCGTTTTACAAATTGTCTTTTGTAAAAATCCCTTGGTAGTTGGATTTCAAAGGCAGATATGTCTGTCTGGGAAATATTTTGATCTATTTAATGTTTGTAAATCTATTTGATCATATATTGATAAAATATCTCACTTTTGAAAGCCTTGTTAATTATTCCATGAAGTGCTGTTGGTCAGCTTCTAGCTAGCGACCAAACATTGAAATTGTGTCCTTAGTAACAGTGACTATTAGACCGTTATTCAATATATTTTAATATATTTTATTCCAGTTATAAAAATCCCCGGTTGTATGGGCAAGGAGTAGGGTCGCCTGTCCAACCTCATGGGTTTTCTCCGGGTCCTCCGGTTTCCTCCCACTGCTAAAAAGACCCCTACGCGCAAGCGAATTATTGAAATAAAATTAAAACCATATGTTAGTCCCGAAATGACCTAGTTTGTGTTGAGTGGATGTTAAACCCCATTTCTCTCTCTTTCGCTCTCCAGTTTTAAAATAAATTTCAAACAATGGAACATTGTATTTAAAAATTACCCATTGTTTTCTGTAAACAACAGTTTATCTGTCCCAATGAATACACAATTATTTTTTTTACTTTGTCGCTCACTTTCTTTGTCTTTAATGGTGTGATTGTTTTTTCTCTTCAGGAAAGTGGTACCATAAAACATGTAGAATCTGGGAAATGTTTAGACAGATCAGATATACCCAGTGGTAAAAGTATTATAGTCAAAATATGTAAAAAGGGAGTAGATTCACAGAAATGGGCCTTTGAACATTATTTAGATTAAAAATCGTTGTAAATTATATTCTCTTTACCTCAAGGACATAGTCCTTTTTTAAATTTAAAAAAAATTGAAGAATTTTAGTATTTGTTTTATCTATGTGCTGAGTCAAATGAATTGTTTCCCTAATTTATGTCAATAACAGCAACTGGAACAAGAGTCTGAAGTATATTGATATTTTTAAAAAAATTATTCATCAACAAAAGATTTCACAGAGTATATTTTAGTGAAGGATATGTTTTCAAATATATAAAACAAGAAAATATTATACATGTTGTTCCATTCTTCTTTTTTTTTCTTTTTACAAACAAATATTTTTCTTGGACAATAAAAAGCCTTGTAGTTCTAGTCAAAAAATTAATTTGCATTTAGTCAAAGTTACATGTTTCTTAATTTGATATTTAAATGATGATACTTTTTGAAATTTTTATCCCGTACCAGGGAAAAATTCTAACTGAATGATTATGCTAATTTTGATATTTGAAAGTTAGTATTTTGTCTTTAAAGTTCCAACTGATCAATAATCCATAATTTTGATTATTCCTGATATATAAATATTGTATTGATATATTTATAAATGCATATGTTTTACAAGATACAAAAAAAAAGTCAATAATATTTACTTTTTAATTATACAGTAATTACATACTGCTTATTATTTAATTACATGTTTGTATTGTATAAGATGTTTATTTATTACAAGCCTATTCAATCCTTATTTAAGAAATCCTTCAGTTTTCTGATCTTTGTGTATTGGATGTTTTTTTTTTCTTTATTTTTTTGTTTAAAATCATAACTGACAAATCATTTATGGATGCAAAGTATTAAGTTTAATAGTTTAAGTATTTTCTTTTTTTTCTTTTTATATTTTTGAACTATAAAAAAAACAAGGTTCTGTGAAAGCCACAAATTAATTATTGGGTTGTCTTCCTTGACACATTATTTTCATGTTATGACATTCCATTTTTGTAACAAAAGTTTTGGTGTCTGAACTAAGTGATTTTTTTTTTCAAATTATTTGAGCAAAAATGCTTACTCTGTTCTTAAAAGCTTATTTCTTTCTTTTTCTTAGAGCTTTGTAAATATACAATAATTACAGAACAGCTATGATTTCATTATGTGCATATTATTGAATACCATTTTTCAATTAATAATTTTTTTTTATTGTAAATAAAAATGAGGGAAATAAGTGTTAATATGAATCTGTTTTATGGGAGACTTTTATTGGTGAAATGTTAAATCTGAATGTTCTTTAATTGAACAGGTTGTGCCTGTGTTCTGTCTTTATTGTATTCAAATCTTAAATTGTTATATATTCTAATTTTGTTATGAGAGACTTGATTGTAATCTTAATAAAAGTGTATTAGGTATATTTTAACCGCTTACGTGAAAGATACAGTATATCCATTCTAGTCAATTTGTGTAAAAAATATTTTTATGGGGCATATGCAGCACTTGGATAGACATTTCTATTGGTTTTACGAAAAACTAAAATCGATAATATTGAGCTAAGATATCCCACTTTGCAGTTATTTCATTTTTGGCTGGGATGGTGTGTACTGTAATTTCACTTAAGTACTTGGATTATAGCTGTAGTATGGTAGTGATGTTCTTGTCAAAAACTGCCCCCGAATCCATTCACTTGATTTGATATTTGTTTATTTGGTGCAATGTCTATTTTCTGTCTTGTCCGCAGGTTTATCTTGTAGATTTTTGTAGATGATATTACACATATACTATAATATTAATATCTGCTTAAAGTATAATATATAAAATACATTTAAGATATCAAATAGAAAAAACAAAACATAATGAATTATTTGTATTTGAAAGCTATGAATATATTGATTTAATATCTGCTTAAAGTGTAATATATAAAATACTTTTAAGATATATTACACATATACTAGATTATTTATATCTGCTTAAAGTATAATATATAAAATACATTTAAGATATCAAATAGAAAAAACAAAACATAATGAAATATTTGTATTTGAAAGCTTTGAATATATTGATTTACATTTATTTTAAAGGCACTGATCATGAACTATCATATTGTTGCCATATCTCATAGAAATCCAGTGATCATTGCCATCTTCATTAGCCTGGTAGGTGCAGAAAAGTAGGATAGTAAACCCCATTTCATTTTATTTGACAATTCCGTTTTTTAGCTATATGCAATTTCTTGTTTTGTTCCATCACAACCTCTGACATACAAAGACTTCTAAACAAATTTAAAATAAAATTATTTTATCTCACATGTTAGAAAGTGTAAGTAATAAAAGAATACTTCAAATGGCATTATGGTAGAGAGCTATTGATATATAGATTAGTAAATGGTAAATGTTTTATGTTTAAAAGCAATGTAATTGAAATACTAAATTTGAAGTTTAATATATTTGTAATAAACTTTTGATATGAAATGCTAAAATTGAAGTTAAATAAATTTGCAATATTATGATATGAAATACTAAAGTTTAAAGAGGAATTATCACTCATAACAGAAATTAATTGAAATTATATATAATTTTATATGACATCAATGTTCAAATTAAATGTTTGCTTACCAAAATATTAAAAATTTACACTCTGGCTGGTATGGATGTCAACTCTTTGAATACAATGGGCTATAATGTGTACAACTTTTTATGAATCTTAATATCTCAGCAATGGATTGTTAGCAGTGTCTCAAATTTTGAAATCAATCCAAATTATAATGTATATGTAGCACCAAATTATGGCAAATTGAAAATGCTAATGATTCTTTAAGTAAGATATGATAAACAGAAGTTAAAGTAGTATTTTTGTTATGAATGTTATTTCAAAGCTGTAATATATTGTCATACATAATATTGTTATTATTGAGGGTCAAGTACACTATAGAGTCCTATTATTTGTTTTAAAGTAGGCCTAGTTGCTGATGCTTGTACATAGTGGATTTTATTGTAAATAGTTTTAAATATATGTACTTTGATTTAATTTGACATAATTTATTTAATTTAGACCTTGAAAAGATATCTGAATAAAAGTTTATAATCTTTAATTACAAATATAAATGGTGTCAAATATGCATATATAGAGAGTGATTTCTCATGTGTAAAAACGTTTAAACCTGAGGGGTAGTCTCAGATTTCACAGGTTACTGTAAATAAAAGTGGGTAAATCGGGCACAAAAAGTAAGGACGACAAGTTGATGTCATTTACATGTACGCTACAATAAAGTCTAGAAGTTTGTATTATTTACATTACAATAAGGTTCAGAAGAAGTTTTGTGTTATTTTACATTACAGTAAGGTCTAGAAGTTTTATGTTATTTTACATTACAATGAGGTCTAAAAGTTTGTTATTTTACATTTACCATTACAACATTAATTATGGTCTAGAAGTTTGTTATTTTACATTTACCATTACAACATTAATTATGGTCTAGAAGTTTATTATTTACACCATATTAAGGTCTGAAAGTTTATATTATTTACATTACAGTAGGGTCTAGAAGTTTATGTTATTTTACATTACAGTACGTAGGGTCTAGAAATTTATTATTTTGCATTTACCATTACAACATTAATTATGGTTTAGAATTTACACCATAATCAAGTCTAAAAGTTTACACCATAATCAAGTCTAAAAGTTTATATTATTTACATTACAGTAAGATCTAGAGGTTTATGTTATTTTACATTACAGTACGTAGGGTATAGAAATTTGTTATTTTGCATTTACCATTACAACATTAATTATGGTTTAGAATTTACACCATAATCAAGTCTAAAAGTTTATATTATTTACATTACAGTAGGATCTACAGGTTTATGTTATTTTACATTACAGTAGGTAGGGTCTAGAAATTTATGTTATTTACATTACTTATGATCTAGTAGTTTAGATTAGATACTACTACAGTAAGGTCTAGAAGTTTGTTATTTACATTTAACCTACAATAAGGTCCAGAAGTTTATAATATTTACACAAGAGTAAGGTCCAGAAATTTATGTTATTTACATTACAATAATATCTTGTGACATATATACCGGTAGTCTGACATTTTTTATCTACCGGTAGTCAATAAACAGACAATTTGGCTTGGGCAATCGTTACTTATCACAGAACCTAAAATTGATAAAGAATTAAGTTATGTTTGATCTTCATGTACCTGCAGTGTAGACCAACCACAGTTTAAAAAAGGAATGCTGTTAATAAAAATTAAAACAGAATTGGAATACGCCAACACCCATATAATCTTCTTCAAAAATATGTTATTTTTTTTTTGTAAAATACAGCAATGTACAGATACTTTAAAGATGTGTTCGCAAATGTTGACTAAAAAGACTAATTTGTTAGTCATGTTGACTGTTGTTGCATAGATTTTTACGTCCATAAAACTACAGTTGTCCATATTTGTTATTTGTTATAGAGAAGTGCCTTCTGTAATATTACATACTGTTAATATAAAATATGTATCATCCAAGACTGACATGTTCATAGTTAATATATTAACTTTAATGTTTAAATACCCATCGAGATCAACATTTTCTTCACAAACGACAATCGAAAGTTTATTTTCAATCATATTTTTAAGAATGACATTGTTTGTTTATTGTCCATATAAACATAAAAATGTGTAGTATTTTTAGAATTGAAGAGCTTTGAATCTTATTTAAAAATTATCTGGGAATTCTTAAATGCAATTTGTATCAAAAGATCCAGATAATATTTTGTGCGTAGAATAAAGTATGGCTATTTTTTATACATAATAGAACAAAGATGTGAAATTAAATACTTATATTAGAGAATGTTCTCATTTGTATTTAAGAGAGTTGTACAGCTTTATGGATTTGATGGTACAAGGAACTGCTATGCCAAGGGGAAATAATTGCTTTTGTTACAAAATAAGGAAGATTGTGCTTTTTACATTTTGACCTTATTTAATAAACTTATTTTTATTAATGGATTTTTTTTCTCTTTATTCTAATGAAATTTTGATATGTATCCATAGCATCTTTCATTATGGCGTTGCTATACATCTGGTAGTATAAAAATGAGAAAGTAATTGTAATGATTACATTCATAAAGTAATGTAATGTACCACAGCCCTGGTACATTACGGGGCTGCAAATGTATGTAGGTGTAACAGCCAACAGGACTATGTAATTTGTGAGAATTTAAATGCTAATAGTTTAGAGAGAGAGAGAAATGGGGTTTAACGGTCACTTGGCACAAACTAGGTCATTTCGGGACTATCATATGGTTCAATATTTTATTTCAATAATACGCTTGCGCATATGGCTATTAAGCAGTGGGAGGAAACCAGAGGACCCGGAGAAAACCCACGAAGTTGGACAGGCGACCCTACTCCATGTCACATCAAATAGGTTAGACTTTGAGGTGTAAAAGTTACTGCGTGGATGTTATATAATGACCACTCTAATTGTAATTATTTTGCAAATGTAACTATTGCTGTAAACCACTCATGTTTCAAAAACAGTACACCATAATGAGAAACAAAATAAACAATGTGTACGTTGACAATTTATTGTTACCTATTACTACATGTACATGTAGGTATCGCTCATTAACACAGGCTTTATTTTGTCAAGAAATCTTTTATTCACACGCGGGGACCTTATAAGGACAGTGTCTAGTTGTTCAGATGGGCAGACCGAGTAAAATTTCACTCATGGCACAATGTATGGCTTATATCTGTCTACATTAGCCTAGTCGGTGGAGAAAAATAGAACATTAAACTTCATTTCATTTCATATAATTTTATTCATTCAGTATAACAAGATGGGGGGGGGGGGGGCTTAGGCCTATTGGATATTAATGCAAGCTAATTACCCACTATTAACCATTTGAAAAGGTAATTAATTACTATGTCAACCATTTGAAAAGGTAATTAATTACTCAATCAACTTTACTAGTCTCACCCATAAGCACAGTCAATTACTCAGTATCACACTTCAGTACGCAATATCACCCATTTAATGAAGCTTATTACCTCATCTGTTAATGCAGCCCATTACACATTATTATCTGTACAGCCTCATTACAGTATTATCTGTTAAAACAGTTCAATTACACAGTATTATCTGTTAATGCAGCCCCATTACACAGTATCACCCATTAACACAACCCATTACACAGTATTATCTGTTAATGCAGCCCCATTACACAGTATCACCCAGTAACACAACCCCATTAGGCAGTATTATTATCTGTTAATGCAGCCCCATTACACAGTATCACTCCTTAACACACCCCATTACACAGTCTTAAATTACCCATACTCTGTTCAGCGAAAACCTGAAGATAAGAATCATTATTTGCATTAAAAAAAAAACTCCAGATGTTTTTAACAATCATTTTATTGATACATAGACCTACAAGTACAGTAACAAAACAACAATGATTATTAACACAAGGCAACAGTGAGGTTGATGTTCCCCGCCGAAATCCCACAATAAATAGATGACACATATTGATTAATTGCACATTTATTTTTTTAAAAAGTATTGAGCAATCAAACTGATTATCTATACTTAGTCGAAGCATAAAATGTTCAAGATCAAACTCAGTACCTGTTAATGAAACTATACACTAAGTTTCATCACTCTCCATCAGTTAGGATCAAAGTTATCTTGTCTCAAAGCATCACCAATGAAATTGCTTAGCTCTGCTTAGCTTTAGTGGGAAATGTTGATCTTTGAACTCAGTCAAGACATTGCTTATATCTGCTTACCCTAAGCAGAAAATGCTCATCTTCGAACTCCACCTACACCACGTCCGAACATTCTAGCTCAATTACAAGTTATTGTGTCGAAAAAGTATGACGGCCAGACAGACGGACCCATATTAATAGTCCCCTACTTTCTTCGAAAGATGGGGAACAATAACCTGTACTACATCTGCTATACAATAACAATAACTCATCACTATACCCACATTTATAATGTCATTAAAATGACTAGACCTCTTTGATTTGGAACAGCAATAAAATTGTCAATTTCATTGGATTTTAAATGTTGATTTATCTTGTAGGATGACAATCTGTCTTCGTTGAAAGTTTTACGTTTATAGATAAAGCCAGTTTTAAGATCGATCGATTTGGTAGAGAAAAATTAGTAAAGCCAGTATGGAGATGTAACCTATTTGATATTCCATTTTATAATCAACACAGTAGGAGAAAAATTGAACTGAAATTAGTAAATAGTACGGCATCCAATTACTCTTTCAATCTTTCAAAACAAAAATTTTAACTTTTAGACTCTAGAGCCCCCCATCACTAATCAAAATAACACAACAGATCAACACGTTCAATACCTTGACCAAAATCAAAGAAGTATAGTAGTTCATGAAGAAGGGTATTTACTAATTTCATTAAAGGATATGAAATGAAAATATTTTTAACACAGTGAATAACATAATATACACAACCTTGGCACAGTTACCGGTAGGTTTGGTTACAGAATATTGAGTGAGGTAGGGGAATTATATTCAAACAGTGGATATATGATGTGATAGTGCTGTCAATTACAGTTAAGTGGTGGAAAATAAATTTAAACGGGCTAAATATATCAACATGGGAATGTAATGTGATTGGAAGACACAGAAATTGAGGAATGCAGTGAAGCCAGAAATAAAGTGAGACGGTAAACTTGTGTTAAAGTGAGAGTTAGTTGTGAATGTGACGGGGAGTACACCTATGTCCGTGATGTAAAGGCCAGGGTGGTGCATGCAGTGCTGTGTTGTAAGGTCAGGGAATAGGATACATCAACTAAATGTACATGTACGAACATAACAATAGTTCCCAGTTTATTAAATAATAATATTAAAAATTGACTTTGAAATCCAGAATAAATTATGTAAAGCAAGCACACGTTTTATTGCAATCAGTCGTCATTAATGGCAGCTAAAGAAAGCTTCTGGAAAAAACAACCCAGTTCACAATTATCAACGATGTCTCCGAGGTCCTGCATTAAAATCACAGATATTGTGAAAAACAAATTGCATTTAGCAGTCAGTATTTATAATTACTAAATAGTAGTCTAGTATCTGAATATAATATTTCTGGGCTGTACTATCATATATTTCACTGAGGTTCTGATTATGGCACAAAACTAACATGTAATTTCCATATTACAAACACGTAATAAAAACAGTTGTTTGTAGTTGTTCCCAATATAAGTATTTTCATCTAATCACAATCTTTGTATTTTCATCCAGTCACAATCCTTCTTCGTTTTACTCTCGCAAATCATTCATCGTAATATGATCGCATTGCAACTGAAAGCCACATACTAAAATAGGAATATAATCTAAAATCTTATAAAATCAATTCAACAACATGCCATGTCTGCTCACAGTGGCAACGCACACGTTTTACTACTTGCTCGTTGTTGATTACAAACATCCCAGAATTCCATTGGTGTCACATGACTGAGAAAATGAGCCTCAATCTCGAGCCTATTAATTTTAACACTTTCATCAACCGACACAACTTTCTTAAGTGTTCCTTGTTTCCTGTAGAAAAAGTTTTTAAATTAAATTTAAATTTTATTACAGAATTAGATAAATACAGTTTTATATATCTATTTGTTCGGTCATACAGAAATAAAATGAAATGGGGTTTAACGTCCTACTGCTCTTATACTGGGCTAATGAAGACGGGCATACGCCATACAGTGTGCAATGAGGGAAATTTTGCTCTGGCAGCGGCACTTTCACCTACTCTTATATCGAATTCCAAATGCAAGGGGATCTTTTACGTGCATTCCAGTATATACACGGGACCTTGGTTTTTCGTCTCATCCGAAGGACTAAACCGCTGTCTTTGTCAGGTCCTCCGTTCTGCACCACTGACAAGGGGAAACCACGTCGGAAAATCCTGATAAACTTTCTCCGCCAATGCAGGGATCGAACACCCGACCTCCAGGCTAGCATTTGGTCATACAGGTATTAAGCTTAAAAATATTCCTCTTCTACACCATCAATACATCATATATACACAAGACAATCTTGGTTAAAGGAGCTAAATCCCTATTCTTTGGCATCTAGAAATTGACACAAATGGGTCGTAACGCATATAATAATGTAATATAATTCTGAATGTATATAAACTGATCTGCATTCAATTGTTTCTGTTTTTATTGTAATTTCAAATCAGTTATATATGTTTGGCGAAATACGCAAGGAGTCCAAATGGAATGGCAGTCTACACTGGTAGTATTCTCCTTTGAGGTATGTTAAGCCTCGTTCATCGAGTCATTTCATTACAAATGGCACTCGAAAGCATTCTGGCACGCGATTTGTATGCCAATTTTAAAATTTTCATTTTGCCTTAAATATTGGATATCCAGAAGCCCATCTGGATAACAACATCAATGCTGATTTAAATTGACCAATAAGTCTTGTTTGCAATGTTGAGACTGTTGATGACTTGCCTCCTTTAAAACAGTAGCAGTCGAATTAGAAAACTCATGCCTTGACTTGTAATGCCACAGATGTGGTTTGAAGATACATGTACAAAGCCCTGAATATTTCCAGATTTCAGACATTCATCTTTGTCTATGTATATCCATATTTCAACATAAAACAATACATACCATGTTTCTGAATCAACTGCTGACAGTGTTAAAAGTCTGGCTTCTTGATATTGTGTCATTTCTTGCAATGATGTCACTTCCTGTTCATTTGGCGAAAATAGAAGTCCACCAACCCTGTAAGAAAATATTTTGTATATACTGAACAAACATTGCTGACTTACTTCTGCTCCAATGAATAATCTCACGATATATTTAACAATTCTGTTGATAATTTTATTTTGTAGTATTGATTTCACATGACTTCAAAAATTTAAAAATAAACAGGGGGATAGTCTGAAATTCCATAGGGTTTTTCTTCCTGGGTGTAAATGAACAATCCTGGTGAGTTTTAAAACAAGCGGTCGCCACGTAAGATATGCCCACATTTTGCAAGAGATGGACAGAGGACAAGCTAAAAAAAAGTGATTTTTCATAAAATCGGGGGCCATATAATTCAGGATGTTATGGTCAGACATGCAACAATATCAATAGGAACCAAGATCTTTGAGACATAAATATATATATATATATTAAAATTTCATCAAAATCTGATAAAAATTGTGACCTCTAGAGGATCAACAAGTTAAGCTGTAAACATTTTTTGTTACATGAAACACCTAAATATCACACATACCTGAACATGGCCTGTTTAACAGTGGGTCGATCAACAGGGTCGTTTAGTACCAAATCACGTAGAATTGTACGGAACTCTGGAAATAACTCTGATGGTAGTTCTGGAATCTTTGAGTTTTCATAATGGGGAACATTTGGTGACGAGGTTGGGAATGCATCTTCTGGTTGTAGAATACTATAAATCATTCTTGCTGCAGCAAAACCATCTGATTTACTGTAGATATCTTCTAATAATACCTGAATTATATTCAACATTTTCTCATGTAACAAGTTTTTACTTATATTTTTTTTATGCTCTTAGTTTTTCCTTTTTATCATGTAAATGCAACATTGTCTTGTTCTATAACGTCTTTGTTAGGCGAAAATGAGCACATTTAGCTGGCAGTTGTGCACTATAGATGTGTGCTATAAAAGGGTGTAATAATAGTAATAAAAATCACGAATGAATTATGTTAAAATGACCAGACCTCTTTGATTTAAAAAAAGTTTTGATATTATTAAATTGTAGGTATAGATTTGTTTTTTGAATTGTGAATTCATATAATACTTAAAATATTATGTCAACACATAATGTCAAGCTGCAACTGATTGTTTCAAAATCCAATCTAAACAATTTTGCTTAATATGTGAAACAAAAATGTAATCACATACATGTAGATGTTGTTAAATAACTAATTAAAATAATATATCAGATCAAACCATTACAATACTTTATTTTTCATGTCATCAAAGGAGTTTAGCTCTTTTTAAAAGGGGTCACGGTGGCTAAGTGGGTAAGACGCTGGCTTGCTAGAAAGGAGGTCGGGTGTTTGATTCCTGCTTTGGCCGAGAAACTTCATCCAAATTTTCTGGTGTGGCTCCCCCATTGTAAGTGATGCAGGATGAAGGGCCTGACAATGACAGCTTTCTAGTCATTTGGATGGTATGAAAAACCGAGGTCACGTGTACACATTGGCATGCACATATAAATCTAATATGTTGACATTTCACAACCTGTTGGGCCACTTTAAATACATAGCGATGTGGTATCTCAAAAATGAAGATATCAAATTATTTCTATTTTTCTTTATATATAGACTTACAGTTTGAGGTAATAGCTCAGGTGAACATCGAGAATAGCGACACAGTTCTGGTGCCCATGCGTGAGAATTTCCTGCAGACGCCTGGCCCTTTTCTACAAATCTTGACGGTCGACCATTACGGTCATTTAAGCAGCGGGCTAATCCAAAATCACCCAAAACAGGTCGAAGATAATAATCTAGAAATATGTTGTCAGCTTTTATATCACGATGTACTATTTTCTTGCTCTGTAGGAATACTATAGAAGATAACAACTGGTACACAAACTGTAAAAGAAATAGTTCTGAAAGTCCATACAGCGGTGTTTCCATAGCTTGTTTTTGTTCCAGCATGAACGTCTTGAGAGTGGTAGGATATTCTGGTAGAACTAAAAAAGTTGTTCTATTGGCCATTTCTATTGGGACATCCAAATTCTGTGGGACTAGCAAAGACTGAAATCGTTTAAAGCTGGCAGTTGATCCCTGGTAGTAATGTAGGATGTTGATTATATTGGGGTGACCAGAGGATAACAATAACGGAACCAGATACTCAGGACCAAAACTATCCACCAAATATTCATCTATACTGTAACCACAATTATGATCAAAAAACTGTAGGTTTATTAGGTTTATCATCATCTAGAAAAAGACAAAAAGATATTATTATCTTTAATGAAACATACTCTCACAGCAGCTAAATCGTCTGGGCATTTGACAAAGGTTGTCTCAGATGATGACTTTTGTCGTTGGAGCATTAACAAGGTTCTACATGTACAAAGTAAAACAAAGTAATTATAACTAATTAAAGATACATTATGGGAGATTCGATAACGAGTTGGCAGTTAGTTAAAAACAAGATAATGTAAAAGGAATTTGCTGAAAATTTCATTCAAATTGATCCACTATGAACCAAGAACTAAGCGGTTGAAATTTCCGTCTAGCCTCGATCATCAATGCTAAAGTCAGTACGATAAACAGCATAGTCTTGATTATCCATTTAATCGTTAAATCGTGAAGGAAAGTTATGTAGTAAATCGGCTCATAATCCACTAAAGATCGCAGGCTCTTGCATAATGTATGTTTAATGGAGATTGTTGAAATTTGATAGACTTATGTTCTACTAATTTAAATAATACAGATGGAATGATAAATTTTGTTGTGAGAGCATTCACAAATGTATAGGCTATAACTCGAGAAGTTGATGAAAACTGATAGGCTTCTCCGTTTTACTACATGTAATTTCAATAATGCACATACATTTCATCCAGATCAGATCACTTTTGTCAATTGAGCATTCACATGGTTCCACAAAGTGAAAAAGTAACTCTAGAAGTAATTAATGGAAATTGTTGAAATTTGATAGGCTTCTTCAGTTTACTAATTTAAATAATTAGTATCAATTTCATACAGATGAGATGATGACTTTTGTAGTGGAAGTGTTGACAAGTTTATACAAAGTGAAACAAGGGCCATAACTCTAGGAGTAATAAATGGAAATTGTTGAAATTCCATAGGGTTGTTTCAACAATTTATATAATGCATATCAGTTTCATACAGAGGGGATGAAAATTTTTGTCGTGAAACAAGGGCAATAATTCTAGAAATAATTAGGCTTCAATGGTTTTTTTATCTCACTAATGCAAACAACATATATAATTGGAAAAAGATCTGATGATAAATGGAGGCTGTAGAGTGCTCACAAAAAATTGTTGACGATGTACAGACCAATCAAGCGACGTACAGGGGTTAAAATATACAACCACATTTACATGTGGGCGTATATAAAAATTAACGACAACTATTCTGAATGAAGTCTGTATCACTACCAGCCTGAATACATTCACTTGATTTGATATAAACAATTTTTAGTTTAATGCTTGCAATGTCTGTGTAGTTTTTGCATCCTCTCCGTGGGATTACATGTAACATATGGGTTTTGCTTGTGTGTGGTGTTGTCCTCCTACACTTACTATGAAGGCAACAAAAATATTATCATAGCTCCCATACCAACCCACTCTGTTTATGTTTATTCATATGCATCAAACCACCTCAACCAACAGTAAATATCACTGTGTAGTATTTACTGGATCATCGTCTTTGACTTTCAACATTGTGCTAATTTGGTCAACTAGATACATTCCATCACTGTTTGTGCCGTTTCATAAAAAAGAGAGGATACAGTGTGTTTATGATAGTCAAAAGTGTCTGTATTTTGTTGACCTTTGGGTTGAATTTAATATATAAAAATATTGTCTATTTCCGTTGCATTAGTGATCCTAATGTCCTATCTAATAAAAATTGTTGATGAATTTGAAACCAATATCCAGTCGAGGCCAGAATATTGTTAACACTGCCCTAACATTATTCTGGACCAAAATGTTTTTAAAGGAAACATTCACTGAAGCAGGTCCTTTTGCTTAGTCATAATAAGTACACTATAAAAAAATTAAACAAATATAAAATTTTAAAGATCAAAAATGTTTATTCTATTAATAAATTTCACTACATTGGGTGCCACCATGTTCCTGGCTATCAATATTTCTCAACCAAATGAAATGAAATGGAGTTTAACGTCATTTCTCAACCAATCAAAACAAAGATTAATAACTACTTATTGTTAACGTCAGAGTGCTCTAGCCTTACAGACGATATGCCTGAATGTGAATCTAGAGTGTCCAAAAGCTAAAAAGGTGATTTTTTGCACAATCAGGGGCCATAATCGAGGATCCTACAGTTCGATATGCGCGAATATCAAAAGGAACCAAGATCATGAAGTTACTGTCCAACTCCAATATATGCCAATATCGAAAGGAGCGGAGATCTTTTGGAGATAAACCTATATTTCAAGTTTCATCAAAATCAAATAAAAATTGTGACCTGTAGCATGTCCACAAACAAATTGTGGACGGATGGACAGGGGAGATGATAGTATATACATCCACATGAAAATAAAACTTTAGGAAGTATGCACGATGAATCAACATATGTACACAGTACAGACAGGGATGACGACAACATACAACCACATTTAAATGTGGGCTTATGAAAAAAACAAGAAAAGAAATTTAATCAAACTAACAATTTCTCTAACCCTCAACATATTAATTCTTTTATTTGCTGGTGTTTTGTTTATTATAAAATAAAATAACTCACCTTTAACATATAAAATTTCTCTTTATGCTTAATTCTAAAAACTAGTGAACATGATCCGTCACGCTGCCCTGTACCATAATGATTGACAGGGATGTCACCAACTACTGTATATTCTCTATTCAATATCCATTCGCGCCCCGCTACATCCAGACTAAAATCATAGTCCAATCGTTGCCATAACTTTTGAACATTATCACATAGTTTTGACCAATCAAAAGAAATGTTTCTACTCCTAATCAAGTCTAGAATATTTTTATGGCAAAGTTTAAGTTCCGTTTTTTCACTGGATTTGAACCCATTTGTCAAACTTTTGGTTTCAGCTTCAGACACCCGTTTTGCTAGTTCCGTTTTATTCATATGACTTCGTCTTACTAGTTCCTGACGTGCTCTTTGCTCCTCAAACAACAATTGATGTGCTTTTTTTAATTCAATTTTTAATTTATCGTTATCCATTTCAAGAGAACCAATTTTGTCTTTGCAAATCGCAAGATCAATCTGTAAAACTTCAGCAAAAGATTCAACAGTTTCTTTGCTGATTTCAGTACTGGTCCCGGAAGAAAAATTCATTTCACTTTCAGTGGGTTCTCGTAAACCTGACTGATTGAATGCTAACATGTCCGAAGACGATGTCATCATCGATTCTGGCAGCATATGATCTGATCCTTCACAACACTCTTCTTGCATAAATTGGGAGGAAATATTGTAATTACTTTCTCGCAGTGAATGTTGCCTCAAATTTCGAGAAAAATTTGATGTTGAGGAAGAACCCAGATTATTAGTATATTCAACAGGCGGATGTGAATGCCAATTAGTAGATTTCAAGGGATTTCTTCTGTCAATCGAAGAAAGCTTGGATCTTTCAAATTCTGAAGAAAACAAGCATTTAAGTGTTAATTCAATAATTACATAAAACTAAAGACTATTCATTTCAATCCCTACCCTTTAAAAGTATTACCAACTGGATCCGCCCCTGTTGCCCATAAGCCAATCGCTAACTTACTATTTTTTTGATTATGTTTAAAGTATTACTAACCAATCTGATATTTATCTAAAATATCTGTTATAACATGAAAATTCTGTGAATGAGCTTCTTGAAGAGCTGTTTTCTTCTGTTTATTTTTAGTAAATGGATTGGCTCTGGCGTCGATCAATATACGAACAATATCAACAAAACCACGATAACAGGAAAGGTGTAGAGGTGTATCTCCTCGATCGTTCTGAACATTTACATCTGCTTTCCTACAAGAACAAAATCTGATTGATTAAAATTTTGTTGTACATGTACATGTATATAATAGTATAGAATTATAAGATGGATCATCAATACTAACAGAATCTTGAATTATCAACTGTGCCAGTAGGATGGTCAATGTATATTGTAAATATACGGTTTATCCAGATGTAATAAGTGATTACAACTATAATAATACATGGTAAAATTACAGTTTATCCGATGTATTAATTGATTACAACTACAATATTACATGGTATTATTAGTCTATCCAGATGTAAGTAGTAGTTATTAGCACACTTTCCGAGGTGTATCGGTGAATATCAGGACAGTTTTGGTCGAGGGGCCCAGCAGAGGCGGCTCCAAACCAAAACTGTCCTGATATTGACCGATACACCGAGGAAAGGTGCTAATAAGTTACTTACATCACATTTCTATCGAGTATTGTGAAGCAAAATGTGAAAAATAGTATTTATTATCGAGCCGTTTCAACCGAAAAGTGACAAATACTTTCTGCTCTTTCAATATTTATCCCTTTCTGAGCCTCACGTTACATTTCATGGTAGAATGATTTCGCAGTGGAGAGACGACCTGAGTAGTATTTACAAGTGCGTCTTGCTATGATATCTGAGCGTAAAACAATCACGTGTTTGTTTAGACCACATCGTCAAAACAACTTGTCTATGGCGTAGAGGACTGTGATATTATTAAATGTAGTGTAAAGGAAATGCGAAACGTGGGTCATTCCTGGTGAAAGTATGGAAAAACATCTGCTGGTAGTTAAAATCAGATTTGAGTCAATCTACATGTATAATATTGAGTACCATTAGACAGTAGTACCGTCCATGATAAAATTGGAGACTATCATAATTGGGTAACAGTAGAATCAAATGACAGCTACTGGAATATCTAACCTACTTTAAAAACAGGGCTGTCAGTAATTTTTCCCAGTTCTGCTAATCAAAAGTCAAATTAGCAAATTTAAAAATTGATTAGCAATTTTTCAGTTTCAATATACAACAACTAAATAAAAAGATATTACTTTAATTTCATTCTTAAATTTTTCAGCACTGCTACAGGTAGCTGTGACAGTTTGTGAATGTGATGTAGACTTTTGGTTAGGTCTTATGTCTGAAACCAATTCTTGGCAGTGGCTTCCAAAACCCCACTCATTTTAATTGTCATTTCCTCGTCAGAAAACAATTTCGTCTGCTTTTTATTGTGTGTTACTATTTTGTTCAATCGGACACACAAGGAAATTAATGAATAAACTTGATTAACTACACACACGCGATATAAACAATAATATTTTACAGGAATTCTTACTTTGATTTCCCATTTTACAATACGTTTACATGTATTTATTTTTCACATTTTATTTACAATAGCTGGAGAACTGGATCTATTTTTTTTCAAATTGAATACCGATATAATTACTCAAAATTGACCTTTCTCACAACATGAGTGGTACTACTTGATTCCCTATTTCCAGTTTAATAGTCCCTATTCATAGAGTTATGTCCCTGTATTATATAGTGTAATGAATTGTGTCTGGGTAGTACGAGAAGAAAATGTCAGACAGAGAATTCAGTTTTGTTTATAAAATTTTATTTGACATTTCTTACACATTGAAAGTGGTGAAAAAGCCTTCTAGTCTTCAAAATGTGGATAAATCTTGGTGTCAATATCCAAAATGACAGGCATATTAATGATTTTAATTTTTGATTAGCAACGGACAAAATACAATGTATGTATCGCAAATTTCACTGCAATACTGGTTGTCAGCAGCCCTGTTTAAAAACCTTTCTAGAAGCCTTTATTGTTCAATGATCACACTTAATGTTCCCTTTTAGGTGCACGGCATTGTGTACATGGGACCTCAATTTTTTTTTTATCCCATCTGATCAACTAGACATTATTGTTCCTTGCCATTTATGTCCTGCACCATTCAGATGAGTAACTTTCTCAACCAACACTGTAATTGAAGTTGGGACTGCCCAATTAGTGAACCAGCACCTTACTCACTGATCCACTACAGCTCCCCTTTTATAATAAACTTAATGAAATTTCATGCATGTTTACTAAATTCTGATACTCACCCTTCATAAATAAGAATCTTTATACAATCTATCTGTCCTCGATCTGCTGCAGCATGTAGCGGCGTGGACCCCCACTTAACTTTGGTATTTACTTGACTTCTAAAGTCTAGTAAAACTTTACAGATTTCGGGGTAACCTCGACAAGCACTCCAATAAAGAGCTGTAGCGTTGTCAGAATCCTGTTCTTCTACTGAATAGCCTGCATGGAGTAATTTAATCACTTCCTGAAGGTATCCATTTTTAGCTTGTGTGACAATGATTGACATTTTAACATTTTCGTTTCTTAGTCGTTGAACCTCATTGGGACAACAAACTTCATCCACATTACCTTCCTTTAAAATAATGTTTCTTTCTTAACTTCTTTTTTGTAGATACTTCAGAACATAAATTTAGGACCTTCACTTGGAAGTTTATAAATAATTCACTGTATATTATACAGCTATTGTTGTGCTATTGTATTAGTTTTTTGGTAGATTTAGTACCTCTGAAAATATCCATCCTGAAAAATAGAGCAAAGTGCATCAAATTAATAAAGAAGCTAGATTAAAATTTGCCATAAAGAACAAACAACAGACAGATTTAATCGGTCCATCCTAAATTTCAATGTAGATTCTTTGAAACTAAAAACAATGAGTAAGTTAAGTTGAAAACAATGTATGACCACTGTCTGGAAGTTGGTCAGAGAAAATTTGAAGCCGGCATGTACCAGAAGGCTACATATTGCAGCACGGTTTTCACTTCTGTCTTATTTGCCATTTTTGAATGGGGGATAGGGCTTGTTAGGCTATGAAACATACACACACAGCAGCTAAGCACCCATGCCATTCCATAATGGTGGTTGCAACCAAATCGATATCATTGGCATTTGGCCTAAGACAGGATTCTATGATATAAACAAGGGCAATAAATCTATCAGTAATTGTTGTAATCGTTATTCATCACAAATATCGAAACAAAGAATATACACTTAACGTAGATTACAGATGATAAGTTAAAGCATTCACAAGTTTATACAATTTGAGCAAGGGACATAATTCTCAAAGTTACAATGCATATAATTTTCAATATCACAATGGATGGCAACAAGATTTTATTAACTCTTGTTAATGCTTGTTAGAATCTAAATTACCATAGAGTTTCTTTGTTGCAGTAATTCAAACAATGCATACATTTCAAGCAAATTGGATAATAACCTTTGTGGTTAGAGAATTCACAAGATTCTACAAATTAATTATGGACAATAACTCTGGAATTCATTGCCAGAAATTGCTGACATTCAATAGGATATTAAAGTTAAGATCTGATAATAAATTTATTCTGTACAGTGTTCAAAAGAAAATGTGGCTGACAGACAGACAGGAGTGATGACAATATATTTCAATGACTGCGTATAAAAAAAGGAAATTCAGCATGGCAGTCAAATCGATCTCAAACATGGCTTCTATATTGCCATCAGACATATTATGAGAGTTAGATACTAACACAATATACACCCAATAACGTCCAATCATTCAAACAAAATAGGGCTGATGACCTGATGGAAGATATACATGTATAAGAGGATCAAATAATCATTTACTGTAACCACAAAATGATTATAACCACAAATGAAACCAGCAGTTGCCAGACAAGGACGTATAAAATGTAGGCATATAAAAACCCATGGTCATTGTAAGGTGTCTGTAAGTTTCTGAAGCATGGATCAGTCCATGCCCATTATGTACAGAAATGCATTAATTTGTCATATGGTTCATCCTTCGAAAAGGGCATGATTATAAAATAAGCAAGTTTCAATAAAGTTATCAATAGTTTTACTTTCATGAACATACATTATGCAAGAGCTAAATCTGCCTATTGCAGGTCTTTTTTAGGCCTGAAATGTTATCTAAATTAGAAATTACAGATTAATTAACTTATCCAGACCATAATCAACTCTCAATGCCATTGCTAGCCGGTGATATTTAGTGGATTGGAATATACTGTTTGAAAAATAATTAAACGTAAAAATTGATAATCAAGACTTTGTTTTTTATCGTATCGACTTTAGTAATGATGATCGAGGTTAGCCTAAAATTCAAAAGCTAATATCTCAGTGGAGCAATTTGACTGAAATTTTCAGCATATTCTATTTACCGGTACATTATCTATTCTTTAACTATTATAGCAAGAACTTGCAACTCTTTATCTAATCTCCCATAATGCCCCTTTAAGGTTTTTACAAGAGAAATAACTCCAAAAGTATTAATAAAATATTTTATTGATTTTTAAAAGGGTTCACTGATCATTCTATATTATAACCTTTAATGATGAGACTACCGACAAAAGACAATATTTGACCATAAGTTATTGACTAACAAAGTTTGTTCAAGTGAAGTTTATTTGTTTTCGATTTCGATTTGTATCCAAATGATTTTAGATTCACCTTAGACAACACAACAAATCACCAAAAAAGTAGTGAAATAAAACTGCTTTATTTTCTTACTACAATTCATATAATATCAACTCCTTTCGTAAATATATTTTTGCCACTATTATTTACAGAGTATACCATTGAATTAAATTGAATGAATGAATTGATTTGTTGTGTTGCTATGTTATATTACAGGGGTTCTTGCCAGTGGCGGCACCAGGGGGGGGGGGCCATTTGCCCCCCCATTAATCTGGTCTGCCCTCTGTTTGCCCCCCCCCCCCAATAATTTTTAATTTTAGAAAATAAAAAAAAGTATTTGTGATACGTTTCAGTAATCAATACCTTCTACGGTGAATAAATCCTACATCCCCACTCAGTCATAAACTTGCATGTTGTAGAGCATTTCCGACAGTCTATTTTTCAAAATTTTCTTGGCGAGGTCCCCAATGGACTCGCTACTTTGGCGCTCACAAGAGGAATTCGTTGAGGTTCGCAAGCCATTTTGTTCTCTAGTCGGATAAAGTAGTGATCAGGCGACGGCCGGTATCTGGTTAGATCTATTTATCTCGATGAATGGTGCCTGACAGAATACTGTAAGACAGCATTTCCGGCAGTCTATTTTTCAAAATGTTCTGGGGGAGGTCTCCCTACTTTGACGCTCATGAGTGGGCTTCGTCGTGATTCGCAAGTCCGTTCATTTGACACTTTACCTCATCGATCAGTGCCTGAAATACTGCCAGGCTGCATTTCCGGCAACCTGTTTTTCAAAATATTCGGGGGGGGGGGGGGCCCTACCCCTAGTTGAAGCTCGTGCCTTTGACCCCTTAACCTTGGACTTTGCCCCAGCTTTGCCCCTCCAATCACCGACAGCTGCCGCCGCCACTGGTTCTTGCCGATATGCGAGTTTATCAGAACTCTGTAATAAGACGTACAATATTTTGATGGGTAGGGGGGTTCAGTGAGTAAGACATTGGCTCGCTAACCTGGAGGTCTCATGTTCGATCTCTGTGTTGGCCAAGAAAGTTCATTGTGATTTTCTGGCGTGGTTACTCCTTGTCAGTTGTGCAATGGGCCTGGCAAGTGTCAATGTATAGTCATTTGGATGAGACGAAAAAACCCATTTCCATTCATTTTGATCAATATTTTGTATTTAATTTTGTACACATTATTTGGATATAAAATGGTTTTATGTTGTCAAAAATAAAAGCACATAAAGTTTCATTATTCCTAAATGTTTATCTAATATCATATCATATCATATCATATCATATTAAACAGCTACATTACACAATAATTCAATGACACGACTTTCATCATGAAACCAAGATACAATATTTTGAGCCATGTTTTAGGAGCCAATTGATATACAAGAAATGACATCTGATTATTTTTTTTTTTTTTAAATTAATAACAATTTTAAGGGGTTGCCATGTAAGATACGCCCACATTTTGCAAGAGATAGAAAGAGAACAAGCTAAACAGAAAAGCGATTATTTGTACAATAAGGGGCCATAATCCAGGAAGTTAGGGCCTGATTAGCGGAAATATCGAAAGGATCCCAGATCTTTGGGATCTAAAAATTCTGACGTCTAGAGGGAACACACCCAAGGAGTTATATATTTTAACACTATAGTATTTGTGTACATGGCGCGACCATTTTATCGGGCAGTTTGTGTCCGATTTTCATGAAATTCAAACTCAACCATCATTAGGGTGTGACAGTGATATATTGAAACAGTTTTTAAAACTGAAACAAATTATGACTTCTAGAGAGTCCACAAGCTTTAAACGCAATCAGGGGCCATAAGCTAGGAAGTTACAGTCCAATATTCACTATTATCAACAGGAACCAAGATATTTGTGATATTATCGACAGGAACCAAGATATTTGTGATATAAACATCAATTTAAGTTTCATCAAAATCGGATCACCATTGTGACCTCTAGAAGGTTCACAACCTTAATACACCATGCTTTTACACTATCTGCGTACAAGGAGGGCCATTTTTTCGGACAGTTCCGCTCCGAATTTCACGAAATTCGAACTCAACCATCATTAGGGTGCAAGGATGATATATTTAAACAGTTTTTAAAATTGAATACAAATTATGACTTCTAAAACATGATTTTTCAAACTATCAGGGGCCATAATCCATGAAGTTAGGGTCCGATACATGCCAATTTCGAATAAAACCGAGATCTTTGGGAGATAATGCTATATTTCAAGTTTTGTCAAAATTGGATAAAAGTTGTGACCTGCAGAGTGTCCACAAATTGCGGACGGACGGACAGGGGTGACGACAATATACATCTAAAAATGTGATTTTGATGAATATGTGGAAAATCTACATCTATCAAATACCTTCGAAAGGAAGGGGGGGGGGGAATGGTGGGGGAGCAGTGATGCCCGGGTGTTATGGTGCACAAGTTTTCTTCTATATTACTGGTTATTTAATAATTATGTCCTCCACTTTTTTTTTTGTTCTAGATTTACATTTGTACTCAAATATAACTGACAATATTAATTATGTTTGTTGCATTTTGGTAAAATTATTAAATATATATTACTTATTTTTTCTAACATTATTATGCAATTTTACAAAACTAAGTAAAATAGGTCAAAATTTTACTAACCATTTGGGGACATCAAAAGTGACAGCTTGTTACACTATTGCTAGGAAATAAACAAGAATTTATGATGGCACAAAATTATACCGAAAATAATTTTAAACCATGTTCTGACGACACCTTGTCAATGGTCAAGCATGCATTTATGTACAGTATTGTGTACTTCTTTGCAAAATGCATCATAGATAGAACTCCATGAGAATCATAAATCTAAGTTCTTAATGCATTCAATAATTTAATACATCAAATGCAAAAGTACAACAAAAATATGAGAAATGGTATAGGTGTTCTAGAAAGAGAAAGCATACCCTGCATGATACTTCAAACAAATACATGCATCAATCACCAATGTGTAAATAATAAATTACAATATGTAAACTAAAACTGCATACCTGTCTTCCTGAAAGCTAACATTTGAAGAACATATCACAAAACTAGCAGGCAGCAATCCAAGATAGTAA